AGACTGTTCTAGTTCCACATGCCATGTTTAATGGATGTCAGTTATCAGTTACCTCCTGTTAATTCCCCTCTGAATGTTCTCCACTGCCCTAGCCAGGTACTGAACTCACACTCTTTGGGTCCTGTCACTGGATCTAACTAACGCCTTTATCCACTGAGCCATGTGTCCTTGAGGACAGTTCAACATTCCAACCACCAAGAAGGCTGGAGCGTGCAACGGCCGAATCGTTGTGATAAATATGATGACAAAGATGAAGACAATAGTCCGAATAATGTAAATAGTGTACTTAGATGACCTATTTCAACACCTTTATCACAGTTTGACGTTTTAATTCATTAGCAGTTTTATACAGACATACAAGATCAAACATTTTTGCTACTATATAATTGTTTTCTCTCTTTTACATTTGATAAAATACATACAGATGGACAGACTAACAAAAGTCATTGAATTTTATATGTAAACAGATAAAAGCAAAACTTGCTACCCTCTGTCTTAAAATATTTGCCAATCATCAGAGAATTATCTGATTAAAACAAACTTTTCAGTACTTATTCTCTAATGAATGAATTGTATACTGAATAGGCTATTTTATTAGAAAACTTTATAAGAATCAAATTATATATATATTCTTCAACCAATAAAATCTCATCAGAAGGTTTTCTTGATAAACAATAATTACTAGGGCAAAAGCTGCCAAAATATTTGGCAGACATACTTGCAGACCTACCACATGTTATTTCTGAACCATTTAGAAAATGACAATAACATTTTTGTGCACCACTGTGAAATTATTTTCTAACCAATCCACAAAAGTTTGCACCTCTATGTGAAATTAGGTTTTAGATCCCCCTTACAGATACAATGTTTGTAAAATATAATGCCATTTTCAAAGTGTGAACCTTTTTAAAAGGATTTTATTTTTTCCTATTAGCAACAGTGAGATTATTTTTGTATGGATGTACAAAAAGGAAATAATTATGATTCCTTGCCTTTGACCATTCTAAGTTTCATAAAAGCATTTAGATTAAAAAATTGTATTCTTAAACTTTTTGTTACATAAGATTATAATAATTTTATGGATAATATAAAAATAAAGGAATCTCTTGAATACCACTGGATAATTAACAAAGAACTCATGAGAATGAACATAATCAATTAACATTATTGATTCAATAACTCTTTACCAATTTTGACCATTTTTTTGTTAATAGTAACTGTTATACCCTGTCGAAATTAGGTAACTTTCTGATTCATTCTGTTGGCTGGCCAGATGTGAATGCCATTGAAAACCAACTAACAAAAGTCATTTTCTGAGCATTAGGCTCCATGCATCACATCCAGCCTACGTCGTGAGTTCTGGCAGTGACCAATCGTGAATACTGTCTCTGAGAACAACATAAACAGTTGCGGCCCAGCTGGCCACTAGCCATCGTGCAACCTCGACCCCATTCGTGCTACCAGACTCTGACTCTACAAGCATGCAACCCACTTGACCCAACAACGTGATGCCAATCTGACATCACCCTGGTTCAACACAACAGGTCTACCAACCAACAAAACAACCTACCACCGTGATCTTGATCAGCCAAACATACACCAACCATATCCTGTAACCTTGTCCAGGCCAGCAGATGAAATAGGTCATGTCCCATCACTATGATTACACCAGATTGCTATCCTGATGATCGCTCACTGAAACTATCATTTCACCTAGCTTTGACATATCTGTACAATATACTAACCTTCACCATGACCTCAATCAACCAACTGTATCCAGCGACCTCACACCAAACCCACACAAGAATTAGGTCAACACCTGGCACAATCCTTCCATTCATCCTTCAATGTCTCTGTACTCTCTAAATCAATAAACGTTGTTCAAAATTTAATCCTTGTTATTCCTTTCTCTTGCAACGAAATGCTTAATATAACAACTCCATTCCCTTAATACCGTTTCTAAAATTTAGAATAATTTTTAAAAAAATCACATTGGGTACAATTATATATTTTATAGCATGAAACAGGTAAAAAAAATAATCAAAAATGAAAGCAATAAATTAAACTCAAAAGTATCATTAAACTAAAAAAAAATAACTGCTTCTAATGTATAAAAAAATAAGTTTATTCATTCTAAATTTAATAAAAGTGTATACAATAACAAATTATTATTCTTAGACTATTAGTTATATAACGTTAAAGATAATTTATATTTAAATATAAATACCAGTTTCTTGGTAATTGCATTGCTGATATTCCATATTTCTTTATTTTTTGCATGCTTTTTAAGTTAGCAGTGTAATTATAAATTTTTAGTTTTAACCTCTGACTCTACAGGCTACCATACATAAATAAACATCATTTTCATTAAGTTTTAAGCAAAAAGTAAGCATTAATTTTTCAAAATCTAGTTAATTAATCCTTAAATTTACTAAATGACTTTGAAACATATATCTCAGACAAAAATTGGATTTTTAAGAGATTTTAAAATTTGTTGTTTATATCTTTCACTTATAATGGCAGTTCAGTGAGTGACCAATGAATGTACTAATGCCTTTTAAACGCCTAAAAACTTTAATTACACACGGAAATTAATTTTCTTTTAATACAGATTTATAAAAAAATTATTTCCTATCAAATCCAAGTTCTTCTGCCTTCTTCAAAATTTAGTTAGTCGAAACAGTAAGTCAATATAATAGACACAAAATTACAAAAAAAGACAATCACTGTGTAAAATTTTAAAAAGGAACAACATTTATTTTATAATATTACAAAAAAAAGTACAGATATAAGGTTGCACAAAAATTTCCATCAGATATGAGGAAAAAGTGTCAAAATTTTTAGGAAAAAACATGGATTCAAAACAAAAAGATTTTTTAGGAAAAAGAGGAAAAAAAAAAATTTCTAAGGCAGAAAATACAAAATTCTCCGAAGACAAAAAGTCATTACACCCTTTTAAGGAAAGACTTTTGCTTTAGAGGAAGCAAAAAATTTCTTTTCCCTGTGTTGATTTACTCTGGCTGGATTGCGCTCTTGAAACATGGGCGTCATATATATGAACAGTTCATTCTTTTTCTTTTTTATCCTCCATGAATTCAAAAAAAGGGCTTGAAAATTTTGAAATATATATGAACCTTCTTTCTCCATGAATTCAAAAAATGAATCCGCAGCAATCAAATAATTTTGGTGGTATCAACCGTTTGAACCAAAGAGGCCATCAGAAAAATACACACCTTTCAAAAAACGTGAGTTTATTTAACTCTGAATTAACAGAATATGTGGTACAAGGCCGAAATGGGGAAGAGGTCGGTTTTCTGTCTTAACTTTAAACTTAGCTAGCCACAAACGCTAAAACCCAATCATTCTAACAATATTCCTTGCACCAAAACGACACATTCTTACATACCTTCCTCATCACACCCACCATAATACCTCAATGTCTCAATGAAAATACTAACTAGACCCCATGTGTACAATATATCGTCTGTGGGGGGGGGGAGCGGAATAAAACAACAATTTTTTTTTTTTTTTTCAAAAAACGTGAGTTAAAAAAATAAAACAACCGAGACGATTACATTTACTTTACAATTCTAACATTTTTAAAACAATAAAAATAAAATTTTTATAGATTAGCTTTCTTTCAGCTATCATCTTCCAAATAAAAACAAACATTTAACTTCAAAGAAGACATTTAAACATTTAATTTTAATAAAAAAAAATTTAAAATGCGTTTTTTCGTTTTTTTTTCCTTTCTTTTTAGGAAGCAGTGGCGGTACCTATCAACATGAAGACCGTATTTTTTTTTTTTTACACAAAGTAGCCTGTTAGCAATCTGAGGTCTGCCTGTAAGTTAGGCAACCGCAAAGGCTCAATGCTAACTAAATAACTTCTCAGAGTGTTACCCTGAAAAGAATTCCATCAAAGTGTTTTTCAATATCAGTCTGATGCTCGAGTTACGGTTTAACACTAACAGACAACTCGAGTTAAAAATTCGGTTAAAAATGCTATGTATTTTTGTAGAAAAATATACTTTCTTGCATTTTTATGTGCTTGGATAGAATATGAACTTTAATTTCTTTGGGGCATTAGCTGTTTTTAAAGCTTTTATTCGCAGATTCAATTTATTTACACTGTTAGTAATTATAGGCCTTTACCAGTTTGTTTGAAAATATCGGGTCTGTAGTCAAGTCAATAATGACAATAATTTTAAAGTACGGAAACCTAAAAAGATTTTTTTTAAATAGTTGCATTTTCTCTGCGGCTATAAATTCAGTTTGTGGTGTTACAAAAACCTTAACTTCTAAGTCCCCAAGTCTAACTCCTAATTCTCTAATGAATCCAAACCCTGTTTTTAACTAGATAAAATAAATTTTTTACCTTTCTAGGCCTCTGTACTTTAAAATTATATTTGCATAAAGGCGGACACGAGCTCAAAATCCAGTTTATTCTTCGTATATGTAATTTGAACCTTCAGTGACATGAAATCAGACCGAAAAACAGGGTTCTTCTTTTTTTTTTTTTTTTTTTTACTGTAAGTTGAAACCCCACATTAGAGCCGCTCCACTAATTCATCAACTTTAAAACTTTCATTTTCTGAAAAATTAATTGAGGCCCGAAGAAAAAACGACGTAATTTTTTAAAGATCAGGATAAACTATGCCAGAAAAATTTTGTAGAAAAAAAATGTCATAACCGAATCTTTACTTTTATGTTTAAAAATCGATTCAGAAATCAACAACAATTTTTTTCTAAGTTATTTACAGTTAAAACACTACGATCAATAATTTTTAAAGGTTCTCTTAAACTTAAGTTATGTCTTATTCTTAGACCGCAAACATTCAGTTGGACTTTGGAGGTATAAAATAAATAAATAATACAGTCTTTCAGCGCCTTTATTTATTGCATCGCTAAATTAACCCAGCATATTTGAAAACTTTTTTTCGTTTCGGTTCCGTTTCCGCAGATTTCTAATTTTATACGAAACTGCTCTAACGTGTCAATATGATAAACATGGCTGGGGAGGAGTCGTCTGTGCCGGTTGTGGCAGTTACTGCGGCGGTAGGGGCTGTTGTTTTGCTCCTTGTTTTCCTTTGTAGTGTCAGCAAAAAAACGCAAGATGATAAAGAAGAACCAGGTAAAAAAAAAGTAGCCTTTATAAATATCGACCCATTTTGTTTCCACTCTGTCCCCCCCCTAAAAAAAAAAACGTGTATCTGTTCTCTTCTTTCTATTCGTAGATTTAAAATTTCAGTTTTCTTTTAAAAAAATTTTTTATCTCGTTTCATATTGCAAATTTGTTTTTGTTTTTTTATTATTTATTAATATTTTAACAATAAATTTATAGCCGTTATTTATTTTATATTTTTAAGAAGCGGAGGGAAAGACTGCAGTCTCATTTATAAACTTACAATACAATTTATATTTCTCTCTTTTTTTTATCTTACCTTACGAACAATAACACATTTCACGCGAAACTTTTGGTATCATTTTTTTTCCTGAGTCTTTGAAAATAATAACCTCAAAAGAATATTCATAAGCCTTTGAAGCACATTTTCAATGCATTAATAGACATAACAAAGACATTTATTTTCATTGAAGTCCAATTTTAGGAACAGAGTGCTTTGTCACGTGATAAACCTGTTTCAAATCAAAGATTGCAGAACCTAATCTAGCATTTATTTTTAAAATTATTATTACACCTTAGAACTATTGTGTGGTGTTATAATTTGTTTTCGGATTTTGGGGTGAGGGTTTAAAAAAATAATGATTATACATCTTCATTATTATTAGTTTTTTTTTTTTTTTTTTTTTTTTTTTTTTTAAATATAAATTTGACAGTGAATCACTGAATAGTAAAAAAAATTCTAGTATGAAACCGGGTACAAAAAGTAATATTTCTTTTTAAAAATGAAGGTTTTTTTCAGTGAAGTTATAATATTTGTAGCTTTTTTTTCTTATCAATTTACAGAAATAAATAACTGATTTAATTTTTAACTTCCAGAACTCTTCTAAAATCTAAATTTTATTTATTTTACTTAGAAAAAAAATAAGGCGGCAATATAAAATTATTTAAAATTTTTATTTGGGTAATTAAACTAAAGGTTGTGTTCCATCCCAAGTTAAAGACTTTATCTTTTATCTTCTTCAGCAATTTAACTTTTCATTCAAATTTTTAACTATATTTTTTTTGTAAAGTGCAGTTTTTTAATTTTATTTAATGCATAAATTTCAAGACTAAATCAAAACTACAATTTCTTCTTTTTTTTTTTTTTTCTTCCTAAAGAAAGCAAAAGACCGCATCCACATAGCAAGTTCATGGAAAACTAGTTTAAGAAATGAAAATAATAAAAAAAAAAAAAAAAAAATGTTTAACTTTTTTATTTGCTGACGTTTTGTGATTAAATATTGAACTGGATTTTTTTTTTTTTTTTTTTTCAGGCTTGCTTGAGGGTGATAGTAGTTTTTTTTTTTTTTTTTTTTTAATTTGTTAGTTTATTGCTTTCAGCTTTACATTTGTCTTGGCTGATGTATAGTGGGGACTTTGTGACAAAATGAAAAACTAGACTAGTAAAACCAGATATCAGATTTAAAAAGTAAAAAGAAAACAACTAGTCTTTTTTCTTTTTAGTTTTGAATTTTGCAACGTGTCTGTTCTTGCTTATTCTTGATAAATTAATAAATAAAAATAATTGTAAAAAAAAAAAAAAAAAAAAGTCAATTGAAAAGATCTTTGAAAAATAGTGTTGTAACTGAATGCCTTTTTAAGCAGCTGTCCGACTTTTAAGCCCAGTTTTCATCGTGAGAGAATAAATTTGCTGTGTTGATTTTTTTTTTTTATTTTTTATTTTTTTTTTTTATTTGTATTAGTTGTAGTTTTACATTTAAAGTCGACTTTGAACCAATGAACATGAGTTTTTATGCGATAGATAACTTGTCTAAAAATTGCACAAAAAGGAGGAAAATAACACTGGCATCTCATAACATATATTTACCAAAATTATACAAAAATATCTTGAAATACTAAGTAAATTTATTCACAATGGCATGGTGCAGAGTCCTGTTGCCAGACATAGGCTCTTTCAACAGCTATCCTCTTCTTGACTCATGGCAGCACTACATCCTCAAGGAACTTGATGTAGGCTCCCGTGTTGAGTTTGAGGCCCTGTGGGAAGATAAATGGAGGCATAACGTCGCCATCACTAGTGATCACTCCAGTCCAAACACTATGTTGTTTGTTGTGACTGATTGTACCTATTTCCGAATCTTCTGCACTGTCCTCAGATTGGCACCCAAAATCGAAGCTTCTGACGCGAATGCCAAGCGGTACACTACTACAGCATGCCGTTTCCAAATTTATGGCGGAGTGAATCGCATCATGGTGCTCTTTTTCTCACAGACGGTGCCCAACTGACCCAACGTGCTGTGCAGTCGCCAAGATAAAAAACAAACAACGCGCATGCGCGAAATTAAATTTTTTTTAAAAATGACACCTTACCTGTCGCAGGCTGTATTTTGTTACGAAGAAAGCAAAAAATTGATATTGTTAAACAATTCAATAATTTGCCTGACTTGAAAAAAAAAAAAATTAGAAGTAATAGTAGTAATTTTAATGTACATGTGATATTTATTTTAAAAAAATATAATTTTTATTTGATACAAATTTTAAGTAAAAGCTTCTAAAATAAATTGGTTGGGTAACTATTATTCGTATCGTTTATCTCTGGAAGAGTTTTGTTTTTACTAATTAAATTAATACTAAAAAGCCCAACTCTCTACTAAACTAAAAGTAAATCTGTCAGAGTAAAACTCCAATCTTGTATATGTGTTTTAAAGATACAGCTAAAAAAAAACGACACTCTCTCTAACCAATTTCGGAGCCATATGTACCTTGAATTCCTGCCGCTCTTGCAGTACCAAATTTCCTTAGTTTAAAATTAGACAAGGGGCTTTAGCTGGGGACGTCTTTCTGTTTTTACCTCATTTTTAATAGAAAAATTAGTATTTGCATTTTATACACCTTCAATCTGCGTATATAAACAAACATTTGCATATGTTCTCTCTTACTATGTGTGAAGAAAAAAGAAACATTCATAACAATATGAATTTATTTTAAAAATATGCATAATACAAAAAATTCACTTAGAACTTTATTTTTTTTTATTAACAACTATTTGAAAGTTGAAGAGACTAACTAAAAAAACTGACTTGTTGGTAAATAAATAAATTGATGCATGCTGGTTTGCTGCTGTTTGCAAGGAAGAAATCAGTAAAAAAAAATGTTATTTTGAAAGACTACACTTGTTTTAATTTTGTATTCAAAGTACATTTTATGGAAGAAATTTCTATTTTAATGTAAAGTAAAACATGTATCATAAAAAAGATAATATGAATTAAAAATGTGAGGAAGAAACGAGTATGTTATTGTTATGTATAATAAAAAAAATTACTTATTTTCAAAAAAAAAAAAAATAGACCTGTTTTAAGCTGTTACTCAAAATTTTATGCAGTGTGTTAACTATGAAGCCCAGTGGAGCAATAAATCTTCTTTTCCTGTCTTGAAATACAAATTAAAATTTATAATTAATAATAAAGTTCATAATATTGTTACCTCATCATTTTGTATCATGAACTGCTTCTAAAAGAAATGCAACAGGTTTATGGGTGGTTTAGTACATGATAATGGTTGGTAACTCATTTTTCAAGTACATCCTCTGATGTGGTGGCTAGCGAGTCCCTTTTGCAGACACCTGCTCAGGCACATTTTGAGTTTATTCCCTACCCACAGACCTCACTATGCTGAGCTGACAGTTTCTAGAGAATAGCAAATGTATAGTCTGGCATGTTTAACTATTTTAACAAGGCATGTATGCTCAAACCCTCAATTATTATGACTTGTGACTGAATTACGATGATAAGGGATGGCTTCTAAACCGTTTCATCTATCCAAGTTTTGGGTCAACCTAAATCTAAATCTCACTCCTGTTGGAGGAACTCCTCCTTGGTTGACCATATTTTCAGGAGTGTAGCTGTACTTCCTATGCTTGGCCAATTGCAGTTTGGTGATGCTATTTAACACATACTTGACATGGATGGCCATTGACTCTGAGCAGTTCATCTGCCCTTTAACAGCTATTTTTGTGTTGCTGGGATTCCATTCACCCTCCTCACCAGACCAAGATCTGGTGGTGGGTGTCAGTTTCATTGCCAATGACTTGATCACATTGGTTTTGAATTCAGAGTTGTCCTTCTTCAAGGATGCCACTCAAGGCTATAAAACCCAGTCTGAGAAGAGATGGATTTAGACATTTGCCAAGACTTTTTGCACATCAGTGAATGCAACAAACTCTACTCTCCATTTCCTCAATCTGAGCCAGTAGCCATTACTCCACTATGTCTACACTTGACCCATGGTATGGTTTTCAGTCATTTTTTAGTGGTACTGTGTGCTGAGATAGTCCCCCCTCCACTACCAAGATGAAAACATCAAGAAGTCACTTCTCTTACAAACTGACCATGGTTAGATTCAAACCGAGCTCCCATGGTCAAAATATTAATGTTCCAGCCAATGTACATTGCCTTTTGGATGAAAAAAAAATTCTAAGATATAGCTTGGCTCAAATTCAACTTTAATAATCAATGTCAGCATAGTTTGCATCAATGCAATGTTTTGGCATTGAATTTATTCCATCATTATGAAAAGCTGATACATCTTTTGGTATCTTTTGATACATGACTGACGAGGCAGATTTTTTCCCGCAGTAGGTTACAATTTCTTTCTGCAGTAGATCAGTTGACATCCAAGGCTATAGAACCTGGTCTGTCCCGCTAGTTACCCATAGCTGGAGGGTGGGGAAGAAGCAGATTCATATCTTTCCCAATGGTATGAGCACGTAAGTGAATACAATGGGTTGACTGGATTTCCAACTCTGCTCTCCGATTCCTCAATCCGAGCCACTATCCATTACTCCACTGTGCCTCCTCACATCTATGACATGTCCTAATTGCAAATATTACTACTCTTGTACTTTGGAAACATTATTCAGTAAAACTTACAAATGATTTATTTCAAAATATAAAAAGCTAAGTAAGACCACAGAAAACAAGACCACTAATAAGAGGGTGGGGAAGGAAATTATATTTTATACAGGTCTTAATGTATAGTGACACTATTACTAGGATGCCTATATGGAAGAGGAAGGTATATGATTTAAATGTCATAAATGTTTTATGACTAGTACTAAGGTCTGAGATGTGATCTTAAAGACAGCCACTAACTTGATGAAAAGAGAATTAAGTAACAGTTAAATAATTAAAAGTTAATGTGTCAAATAACAAACCAGGCACTGACAATTTCTGGTTATGGGCCGATATCGATAGTCACAGTTAGGATTGGGAGGGGTTCTGGACTGCTCTTTGAAAGGAAATGACTGTCCTTCTGATGTAGTTCCAATTCTTCCTATTAGTTGTGCATCGTGATGTTAAGATGAGCATGGAGATGATTGGATAAAGACAGAGTTAAGGGTGAAAGTTGATTTGTTCATTGGAGATGTCAGAAGTAGGAGATCTTGACCCCCCAAGTGTCACCTGCCAAGACTGTGTGAGAGAATCCCTGAAATAAACAACAAAATATATTGGGAACAGGATTTATGTCTTCATTTTCTGCTGTAACATTTATTTTCATGTTTTTTTTTATTTTTTATTTTATTACTTATTTATATTATTTATTATTATTTATTATTTCATTATATTATTTTGTTTTATTACTTATTTATATTATTATTATTTGTTATTTTATTATTTATATTATTTTATTTATATTATTATTATTTTATTTATTTATTATTATTATTTTATTATTTTTATTTTTTTTTATTTATATTATTTTTATTTATATTATTTTATTATTTTATTTATTTATTTATATTATATTTTTTTTATTTATTTTATTTATTTATTTTATTTATTTTTTATTTTATTATTTATATATTTTTATATTTTTATTTTATTATATTATTTATATTATTTATTTTTATTATTTTATTATTTATTTATATTTTATTTTATTTCATTTATTTATTTCATTATTTTATTAGTTATTTATATTATTATTTCATTTATTTATTTATTATTATTTATATTATTATTTTATATATATTTTATTATATTATTATTTTATTTTATTACTTATTTATATTATTTTTTTTTTTTTCATGTGAGCGTGCAGTTGGCCTTTTCAGTTTTTGTACACACTAACATAAACAAGAGAGTAGATACATGTAATCATTGTCCAGTTGGTGAAAAAGCTGAGATATGGCTTTGTATGCTTACAGTATCAGGAAGTCTTAATTTGATGTTTTATTTTGTTTTTCAGTTGTTGTCAAAAAGAAATCAAAGGAAACTGCTGATAAAACTAATGCAAGCAAGAAACCCAAGTTGAGTTTGAAACAAAAAAAATCTGGAAATTCATTATTTACCCATCCATGGGTGGCTAGTGCTTTGAAGGCCCATGGGGCATCAATTTTGGATATGGACTTCAGCCAGAATGGAAAATACCTAATAACAGTAGCTGAGGGTAAGTCAGACTAACAGAGCTTAAAATATTGTTATTTTGTAACTTAGCAACTTGGAAATAATATTCTCTGTTGAACAGACAAGTTGCTTCATTTTACTCTACTGTGTTAAGCAGTCCTTTCTTTTTTTTTTTTTTTTTTTTTTGTTTAAATGATTTGCATAAGCTTTCAAATAGTATTAGTGAAATTATCTTAATTTAAGCAGTTTGGTAGATTTAAGATTTAAACATTTTGGTGGTTGTTTATTTTGTTTATGTGGTATGTTGGTTTATTAACCAAGCAAGTGAGTGTAGATTAATTTCTAAGGATACAGTTTCCCTTTTTTCTTTTTTTTTTTTACTGAGATCAATAAAAATTTTACAGATAATACTTAAAAATATTTCAGATAAAAAAACAACTGAAAAGTGTTCATATTAAACTTTTTTTTTTATAATCATTTCACCCCAAGCAAGGTAATAAATACTGAATGTAAAAGAATTAAACAAGAAAGAAAGAAAGAAAGAAAAAAAAGTAATCAAGAAGACAGTAAATAACGATTGACATTGCACTTACATTTTTGAACATCAACATTGACTAGGAAGAGAGTTCCACAGCCGAGAAGTGAGATAAAAGAAACAGAAAAAAACTTAGGGTTACAGTTAACCACTTCAACTTTAAAATAAGACCTTGCTACTAATCTAGTGCTGCACTTAAATTCATATACTCTAGGTACCATAGAGCAAAGTTTATCAGAACAATTACTATGAAGGTATATATGAACTCACAGGGAAGCTACATTACGGTAATGGGAAAGTGACTGAAGCTGAGATACCAATAACATTGCAAATTCATCTTTGGATTTTATTAAAAATATCTAAATATATAGCAGGAACACTAGACCATATTCAAAGCATGTATGAATGGTAGACTTATAAATATGTAAGAAAAATTCTTTCGCACAACACAGTGAACCAACTTTCCTAGCAGCAGACTTAGCAATTGATTCAATTGTCATTTAAATTATAAGTACATTTCACATTTGCAGTTTATGACTTTTGTTATTTCAGACCGTTCAGCAATGATCTGGAGTGTGAAAGACTTCACACGGAAAGAACACAGGTGAGTTTAACTACCTGACCATATCATATACAGTGTAACCCGGATATAAGAGATTTTCTCTGGTCCCAAAGGGTTCCCATACTTACCTAAACAAAATAGACCAAACCCGGATATAAGAGATTTCTTCTCCGGTCCCGACAACTCTCTTATATCTGGGTTACACTGTACCGTTTTGTTTAACTTTTTGTGGAGTTATCTCCCTTGAACTTGCTATTCATTTTTATATTTAAAAGCTCAAACATTAAAATCTTTTCATGATATTAAGGACTTAGCAAAGTATACCATCATTTTTGATGGCATGGTTAAAATAGCTATACTGAATGAGTCTAATAGTCAGAATGGAAATGTATAAAATAATCTTTTTCAAAATTCCTTAAAATGGCAGATATTGTTTTTGTGTGTGTATATTTAATATGAGACTCCTTATTTTCCCCCAAAACAGGTTCAGATAAGTTTTGTATGCAAAATTCAGTTATTTGGTAGGATAGTGTTTAACCAGATTTGACTGGCTTTACTTGCATCATCAATATATTAACTCTTTAAATCCCAAAACACCCTAATGTGTCCAAAAGTTTAACACAAACAGTACATGAATGTACCTGCAATCCTGCAACACTATATTTCAATAAACAGCATCAATACTCATCACATAACAAGAGGAGCATTGAAAAACCATAATTAGGGAGGAGACAGTGAAATCAGGAATGACCAATTATGTATGGAGGTAAAAGGGTAGTCATCAACTCTTGTGGAATAAAGTAAAAATACTGAGCAAGAGTACATGCTGGAGAATATGATGGAAAGAATCGGTACGTATGTTAGGCTATTAGGACCTCCTTAGTTGATCTAGCATAGAAATAAATAGGATATGGGAGCCATTAATAAAGAGAAGTTTCAGCAAGGCTTCAGCAACACTCATCAGCAGATAGGTTAGGCTCCAAGTTCTTCACTCAGAATTGTCCAATTTCTACATTTACAACTGATTATAGAATAGTCACATGATTGCTAAGTGGATGGGGGGGGGAGTTTTAATGTATTGGTTAGTGTGTATAAATAAGTGTTTATAAAATAACAAAATAGACATTCTGCAATTAGCACGATCCTTCTTATCCAAAGTCCTGATTAGTGAGAAATCCCAAAACACTGATTTGATATTCAATAAGTATTGTGAACTTTACTATATCTAATTCAATAATCATTGCTCTAGACAAATGTTAAGCACTTTATTGGCAGAAATTCTGTTTACCTTGACATACATTGAATTCTATAATTTTTACCTGTATCAATAAGTAACCTTGTCATTATTAGAAAATATATTCAGTTTAAATTCATAATGAGTTAGAAAAATGTCTTCAGACATTACAGCTTATGCAGTGCTGTTCAATAAAAGTGACTCACCTGATTTTTTTTTACTTAAAAATTTTTTCGTCTATTGTTTTGGGTGTCAAACTTTTTTTTAATCTTACTAATATAAAGACCCCCTCCCCAACCACCTAGTAAAAAAGTTTACTCACCCTAAGGTATTCTATTGATAATTATAATTTTGGATATAAATGAGATTTAGGGAAAAACTCTGAGCAAAAAGTGACTCACTTATTGCCTGCAACTAGTAATCAAAAGAAACATAACCAAAAAGCTTTAAATAAAGAATAATAGAAGTATAATTTATTTATAATAGGTAATATAGTTTTAATAATCTATGGGTCCTCCTTTATTTTGAATAACCTTTTCGACCCCTTTTTGGCATTGACTTGATTAGGTTCTGGCATATCTCATCTCCAGTCATTGAATTCCATTCGGATATGAAATTCACAATCAAATCCTCTTTGTTGCTCGACTGCTTTCTCGAGAGCTTGTACTTTATAATTCTCCATAAGTTTTCTATGGGGTTGAGGTCAGGAGATTGGGGCGGCCATGTCATAACACTCACCTGCTTCTCATCAAAGTATTCCTTCATCAATTTTGATTTGTGATAGGGAGCATTATCCTGCATAAAAATGAACTTGATGGGGTTGATTTGCACCCTTTCAACAGAAGGGAGCAGATAAGACTCTAAAATTTTCTTGTACTGCTCACTCTTGAGGGTCTTTTCAATAGGTTTGAAGAAACCAGTTCCATGAAAAGAAAAGCATCCCCAGAACATTATACTGAACGGATGCTTGACAGTACTTACTGCTAAATTCAAAGAGCTTTCAAAGCGTCTTCGGATTTTAGATTGCTTATCCTTTGAATTTAGCTCAACTTTCCTTTCATTGGAGAAGGGAACGTTTAGTAAAAAAAATCAGGTGAGTCACCTTTTATTGAACAGCACTGGACTCTTTTCCAGTTAACCAGGGGTTGTTATCAGACAATAAGGGAAATGACAAATTTTCATTTCATTTTCTTTCAAATTGTTTGCGCATGTATATTTTAATTTGATGACAGACTTTAAAAAAAAATGAATTGAAACAAAATAATTCTATTTATTAACAAATAAATTACAAAAAGTTCAATAAAATCTGATTAGCTGATTTATTTTTAGGGTTTGAAAATTAACTTTCTTTCCCCCTCTAATTTTGATTTCATTGCTCAGTTCTAGGTAGGTGTTATTCAGACTAAGTAGGAGGAGAATGTATAACTCCAATGTTTTTATTTCATACTATCAAATTGTGTAAATGTTGATGCATACCTATATTAAATAGCATAAGCTTATGTAAATCACCTGTGCATAACACTGACATATGCATATATATTAAATCTCACCTTATTCAGCAGTGGAAATGGTGTGTTGAAGGGTTTTTTTAACTGGAAACACACCAACTTGGATTTCAATCAAATTCATTTCCCACTGGATTAGAATAAACACTGTTACTATATAGGCATTACAAAAACATTTCAAAAAGACAAACATGAAAAGAAATTAACAAAATTTAAACAACAAACCTCTTGAAAATGACTGAAGTGGCTGACAGTGCTTGGGACAATAAATACTATGGTCAATTTTTACACTCCCTTACTCCCAACAAACGGAAAAATCTAAGAATACTAGAAAAAGTAAATAAATAAAAAAAAAAAAAAATCATATTTTCCTTGTCTGTCATATTCAGCAAAAAAATGTTTGAAAGAAAGGTTGCTTCCCAAATATACAGTATAAGGAAAAAAAAAAAAATGAACACACCCATAGAAAGTTGATTTTTTTTTTTTTTTTTTTTTTTTTTTTTGTATTTTAGCAAGACGAGTAATAGAATTCATTTATTAATACAGTATATTAATACAGGTGCACATATGTATATTATACAAGTCAAAAAATGATTTAGTATTTTGTTGGGTAACCTTTTGCTTTAATAACAGCCTTAATTCTTGGTGGCATGATATAGACTAAATTCTTTAGTAAGTCAACATCCTTCGCCAGATTTTTTCAGCATTTCTTTAATTCATGAAAAAGCTCATCTTCTGTGTTAACTTTCCTATTACGGGCACGCTTGTCCATTATCGCCCAAAGGTTTTCAATTGGGTTACAGTCAGGACTCTGACTAGGCCAGTTTATTTAAATATATGTTACATATAACATGCAGACATGATGTGACAAACAAAAAAATTAATTTTATTATGTAGATTTCCTGGTAAAATTCACATGGTTCTTATATGCCACCAAATCTAGTTGTTATTTCCATTTTAAATCTGAAGATGTATTATTGAATTTTCATAATTGATTTGTATTATGAATCTTTAATTCACAAATCATACCTAAGTAAATCTAATTACTTATATGCAAACTATTGTCCTCATCTGTGTTAGGACATTTTGGCTGTTTCTTCTGGCCTTCATCAGGTCATTATCAATCAAGGGAATTTCAAACTGATCCCTTTATTTAATCTACAGTTGTAGACTGTTCTTGTTTCACTGTTCAGGAATATTATCTAGTTCTTATTTTTAGTACTGCTCTTTTATTGTTTAACAAGTTTCCACTGATTCCAAGTACACACTGCCCAGCCCAAGGACTGAACTCACAATTACTATCACCAAATTCATGAACCAACACCTTAATATAGAAAGATAGAAAACCAAGTCTTTAACAGTAGCATCTATAACAAATGGAAAAAAAAAATGCTTCAGTGAATGCAGACAAGCACAGCAGCACTCATCAGCAGGCAGCTTAGGTTTAAGGTTCCTAGTTCTCTGCTAATTCATGAACCAACTCTTTAATCTCTATAGAGAACTTGGAGTCTTAAACCTAACCTGCCAGCTGATGGGTGTTGTTGCTGTTTGTTTTGTTACACCTGTTGCTTTTGAAGACCTTGCTGTCTTACTTTAATAAAGCATTGATTCATGAATTGTGAGTTCAATCTCTGGGTCAGGCAGTGTGTTCTTGGACTCGGTGGAAACAAGATGAGTAATAACTGAGAAGAAATAAAAATAAGAACTAGATGAGATATCCCTAGACATGGGCAGTGGAATGGGAAAAGTCTACCTTCTTACATTAACCTTAAAACACTCACCATGAGTATATAGTACCCAGTGCAAATTTTCATATTTTTAATTACAATTTTCAGTATCCGATTTTCTTACCTAAATAATGTTTTTCAGTTCCTATTAATGTTACCTCAAAGTACAAAGTTTGAAGTGCCTGCATGTAAAATATTTCAAATAAAGATTTATATTTAATAGTTTTTTTTTTTTTTTTTTTTTTTTTTTTTTTGATATTTTCAAAATCGGGTATGATATACCCATAGTTAGTAGTGGTGTAACTTTATTTAATGGTTAGTGTTCTAGGGATAATTAAAGGATTCATTTCAATCCCTGTGCAGAGCAGTGTGTACATGGACTCAGTGGAAACAGGATTAGCAGTAACTGAGTAGTATTGAAAATAAGAATTGGATGAGAAAGCCCTAGAGTTGGGGCAGGGGAATGAGAAGTTTACCTCCGTAAATTAAATAACGGGGTCAGTTTGAAATTCCCATTAAGTTACCCAGATTGACATACATATGATGAAGACCACAGGGCACAATGGTCGAAACATTGTGATAACGACTACAAAGATGAGGACAATAGTCTTCATATAAACAGTATAAATAACTCCTCATCACTGAAATTCAGAAACTAAATAAAGATTTGCTTGAATTTACACAATTTTCATCTCTTTATTATTTTGCTTAACAGGTTTATCCGGGCCAACATAGAATATGACCATGCAACAAGAGTGATGTTCAGTCCTGATACCAAGTAAGGAAAGGAGAAAAAAAATGTCTGAGTGTGTATATGTGAGAGACTGACAAACTACTAGTTAGATGTTTGAGCTGATTTTCACCAAATGTTAACATTTCTCAAGCTTTCCAATACAGTTGTGTCCCCTTATCTCTTATTTTATTTTCTGCAATCTTGTTTAACTAGGTTACCCTCACCCCAGTTCCACGTCAGATACAAACAGTTCATTGGTTTTACTTATAATGGTCTATGAGTAGCAAAGTAGTGATGCTGGCAATTCGGTTATGTCAAAAGATAAACCATAAATTGCTTCCTTTTAGTTAAATCTTACCCTGGACAAGATTAGTTTCTCAGAGATTAAATGATAGTTTTTATTGCAAATGCAGTTAAATAAATACAATGGTGGGATGAATTTCCAAATTATTTATGCAAAACAAACATAATTTCACATGCTGGCGGCCATTTGCAATGCGAAAAATACACAGGTATTTAAGGATTCATTTGGAGTGGCAGACTGGACTAGTGATGCAGTTGTTAGGAAGAGACTGTGATGATGATTGTTGGCAGCTGCAATCTGTGATGAACCATGAATTTCAGGCTTGGTGGTGGATTTTTGCTTTTTTCCCCAGTCTGAATGAGTTCATTATTTTTCCTCTGCAGTGACTTCATTTTGAAGTCTCTCCTTGTGTTTGCCTTACAGAACTTGTCTACTTGCAAGTCTAAATGGTTTTTCCTCTTATCTGAGATTTTGCTTTCTGCAGTTTCAATTACCCATGAAGTAAAATAGAAGTAAAAAAAAAATTCTTAAGTTTTACGGGTGGTAGCATCTGTTAGGGTCCCAGCTATGGGCAAATAGTGAACCTCCTACTTAAACGAAACATGATGAAAGTACACTTTTATAGTAAAAAATACAAGCAATATATATATATATATATATATATATATATATATATATATATATATATATATATATATATATACACACTAGCAGCATTGCCCATGCTTGATTCAAAAATCGTACGACTCATACAGCAATTGCTATCACTTGACTTAAAATATTTTTGCCCTTCCTTGCTTTTAAAGGAGTGCCCTTTGACGTGCTGATGAAGTTATGTAGATGCCTAACTTCTTGCCTATCTCACACTGCAATTTTTTTCTAAGCTCTATACTAAACATTGAATCTGTTACAAAAAAAGAACTAAACAAAATGAACACAAAATGATCAGCTTTAAAAAAGGACTCATAACTGGAAAAACCGAATAAAAGAATGTTATCAAGAAATACTGTTTCAAACACAACCCAGTTCTGTGGAATCAGAATCAACATTTAGTTTAAGCAAGCAAATGAGCCAATTGAAATAAAGTGCCATGCAGATTTAAATTTTTCCCACTTGTGAGAAATGCAGCTATCTTTTTTTTTTTGCATGCTAGCATGCTAGTTAACATTCGTGTCAGTCAGCTCTTGGCTCTCACGCTGGCCAATAGAATCTTCCTGCCTATTTGTGGCAGCCAGCTATTGGCTCTCACTCTGGCCAGTACAAAATGGCCGCAAGCTACATGAAAACTACCGTAGAAGCATGAAAAAATCATTTCCACTATCGATGGGAGTTGGGAAATGCAAAGTCTGTCTTGGCCTTCCCACTAACTTTGTGCATGTAAATTTTAGTGCAAATCCATAAAAAATTGCAGCCATGCATTCGTTATACACACACACATCCTGCCTTTTATAGATAGAGATAAAAAAAAAAAAATTACCAACAATACACGCATACTAACAAATTGTAGCAACTTCACCCAATTCCATTTAAATTACTACCAAACAAGCAACATGGAAGAAGTTTCATGACATCATTCCGTATAATATCCTACAATTTCTTAAATCAAAATGTATTCCAAAATATAACTTCAACAAAACACATATCACAGCCTCTAGTGATCTTGTCAACACAAAGATGTATAAGCACAAAAGCTGAGTATCTACAATGTCACACATTATGAAATGGACAAAGTCCGATAATTATTTTAAGACATTTTTATGTTTATACATTCTTTTTATAGATATAAATATTTAAGTAAATGCTCTGTTTATAATAAACAGTATTAACATTTACCGGCCTGAATGTCCAAGAAATTTTTACAGATGGTTCCATATAGGATACAGGTTCAAATCCTGTCAGAGGACGAATATTTTCTGTGAAAATTTCTCAGACATTCAGGCTGGTAAATGTTGTTTAATACTGTTTATTATAAACAGATCATTTACTTAAATATTTGTATTTATAAAAAGAATGTATAAACATAAAAATGTCTTAAAATATCTACAATGTATTCATTTATGAAAACATAACGTATATTATATTTTTATTACTTCCAAGCTCTCAAGAAAATTTAATTTTGGCATTAAATGAACCATCAGGTGTTGATATGCCTTAAACAGTCAAATCAGTCTTGTTTTACTTAATAATGGTTCTACAATGGCAAAAGTAATGATGCTGGCAATTCAGATATGCCAAAGATTTATTGTAAAGTGATTCTTTTTTAAATGAAAGAGGTGAAAGGTCTCAATAAGAAAAGGAAAAATTGTATGCAAAGGTTGCTAAACATTTATTGTAAGAATTAATTCTGTCACATAACTTTTATTACAGTATATTGTAATTATTTGATTAGTTGTTAATCTATAATTACACCTAAATTCTCTGTGCCGCGCCAGGAAATTTTTCTCCCCGGAGTCGATACTTCAAATATACAAATCAACCATTCGCCCTTGCATAGAATATTGCTGCCATATATGGTCTGGGGCACCTTCTATTTACCTCAGAGTTCTTGACAAAATCCAGAGACGGATATGTAATATAATTGGCCCTGATGTGGCGTCTCGTCTACAGTCACTCTCTCACAGACGCGTCTTCGCCTCTCTCTATCTTTTCTACAAATACTTTCATGGTAATTGCTCCGATGAGCTGCTTTCACTGGTTCCCAGACTCCATGAATTTAAGCGCCCTCGAGGCTGGCGTCCCCGGCCCCCCACCATTACACTGTAGAAACTTTTTAAATGTAGCCGTCTCTTCTACTCCAATAGCTTCATACGTCGCACCTCTCGCCTGTGGAACACCCTTCCCAATTACTGTTTCCCTGAGATCTATAATCTCCAACTATTCAAATGTAATGTCAATAGACACCTCCAGTTACCTTGATCTACCCACTATCCCTCTCCTCATCCTTTCTTCTATCACTCCTATCTGCTCTCGCTCCAAATCTTCTGCAACCCCCTGCATCCTAGTGGCTTCACGCCTTGCTCGGGGTGTAATGCTTAAAAAAAAAATTCATGAATTAAGTTTTGTATGTCAATAAAGAAACAGTACTAATCTCAGTAGTTATTGTGTTTGGTACTATCTGCTGAAGGTCATATTTACTCAGAAGGGAGTGATGACTGTAAAAGAATTTTAAAAAGATATGAAAGATTTTGTGCCTTTTGTCACTAAATACTCTGATGTTCACGCTGGTGTTTAGGCAAGTTACAGTCATCACTTCACAATGGGTGGCATCTGTTGTTCTCGGCAAATATCCCAAAGTCACACAATCTTGATTCTTAATAGAAAAGGAAAGGTCATATCTACATCATGTGGGAGGTTTGCTTGTCATAATAAATGGCATGTGGGTGGTCTGTATTGGCAAATCTTTGTTTTCAGCAGGTTAAAAATTGCTGACTACTTATCAGAAAGATGAACGCAAAGTGAGAGAGAGAGAGAACTTCCTTACTACAGTTTTCTATATTTTGACCATCTACTTTGCTACCAAGAAAAAAAGTCATTGAAGGAAGACTTTTTTTTATCCAGAAATCTTGCTGCCTTACTTGTTCCTGATTAATTAATTCAAAGACCAAATGAAAACACTTTGCTACATCCTGTTTTACTTTCAACATTATTTTTTGTTTTGTGGGACTTGTGGATATTAACTGGGTCTGTTAAATATATCATATTTCAGAAATATAAGATATTACCAACCTGTATACCTGTTTATTATTGTTTTGTTTTGTTTGTTTTTTTTTTTTCCTTATCCTTGGCACTAAAGTTACCCTACTTTATTGTACACCCAAAGTGTTAAAATTTAATTTATCCAGGAAAGAAAATCTGTTGCAGATTAATTGTAGATTTTAAATCACTTTGGTATAATGTATTTCTTTTGTTCTTAATGCTAATGAGTAATCATCTTGTCAAAGTTTAGTTTATGTAGCTTAGAAAATTAATTTTTTTGAGCTTGTGTAAAAATATTATCAACTCACATTAACTTTTAGTCTTTTTACTTAAAAGATAATTACATTATCTGTTTCATCTGGTATCAGTTAGCCACTTGTAGTTTATTAGACCTCTTCATTGTTACATTGGCTGTTTGTCTTACAGAGCTTTTATTGTAGTCTTGGCAAATGAGAATATCTTGAGGATTTATCGGATTGGCAAGAAAGATGATGGAAGTCCTGGAAATATTACTGCAGCCTTTGATTTTCCAAAGGTAATTACATTTCAAATTTTTCTTTTTTTTTTCTTAAAAATATTCTATGAAAGCTGTATTTAGAGTAATGCATATCTTAAATGCAAATAATAATAATAATAATAAATATTGTGCAATATAATGATAATATTGTGCAATATATTACTGTAATGAAATCATTTTCTAGTACATTCCATTCCTAAAGTGAAAATCATTTCAACGTACAGATTAAATGCTGAAACTGGCTCAAAAATATTGTACTTCAAAAATTGTAAAATGTATTTAATTTTAAAATGTGCTTAATATATTTTTTTCTAATGATAAAAATATTTACTTTTTTAGTGCAAAAAAATAAGAAATAAAGTTAACATAGCTTAAATTATTGTTTTGATTTAACAATAAACTCAAAATTTCAAAAGTGATGCCAGACCCTCAGTTGCCAAAAAATCAGTGGTACACTCATACCAAAGTTTATAAAGACAGGTAATATGTATGAAGTTGTTGCAAAAGTTCTCAGCACCATCTTTTCTCAATGTTTAGGAAATCTTTGCAGTGTCTCTCTAAGTTTACTCGGCTTTTATTGCTTTTGCTTGTGTCTTTTTTAAAAGTTTTAGAAAAATTGATAATTTTACTTTATTTTGATGAAAATCATGGCTAAATATAAAAAGTGTATTCAACACAATTGACATTTTGTTTCAGTTGGTTGGTGGAAGATGTAGCATAAGGTTCCCAAATTGGGTGATATCACCCACTTATGGGCGATTTCAAATGTTGGGTGGGTGATGAGCAACTGAACAGAAAATAGTTGGCAACTGGAAATTTTAAAAGGCAATATAGGATTTTGTGTATTAAAAAGGTATTTCAGAATATGCAAAAACAACTTTGCCAGTAAAATTAAGAAATGGCCTCAGGATAATTTTTATTTAATAATTTTTTTTTTTCTTTTTTTAATCACATTGGCCATCTTGAAGGCAGGAAAATTATGTCAAAACATAAATTACCAACCACTGTATGCTTTTGGATATTTACTATACAGGTGGGTGGTAAAAAAAATTCCATTTGAAAGTAGGCAATCGCATGAAAAAAAATTAGGAACCCCTAATGTAACAGAACCTAGACAGTGGACTTTAAAATATTGTAATGATACAGTAGGTGTAAGCACGTGTTGAGAATTATTTCATCATCATCAGTTCTGTGTGGGTGTAGGGTCACTGGGCACATAGCTGGGTTTGAAAGTTGGAGAGGTATTCATTCATTTACACTATTTACATTCTTTATATAATGAATATAATAATCTGAAGAAGGCCAGAGAAGGCAGAAACGTTGTGGATATGGCATAAAAGATGAGGACAACAGTTCAAAGAATGTAAATAGTGTAAATAATTACAATACCTCATCTTGAAAATATAGATAGGTATTCATTGTCTTCAACAAGGAGACCTTGTGGAGCTCATCCCTCTCCTGGTCAAACCATTACCAGTACCGGTCCTCCAATTTGAAGGCTCGCATTCCATCAGGAGAATCCTCCATTGTGGTTGTTGACATCAGTCTTAGAAGCCCTCTGCTAGAACAATGTCATACCATTACTCTACTAGCTTTGGACATGACTATAGAATCCAGTCTTCACCACTGTACTAGATAGTTGTTGACCATACAAAAAGGTTCATAATACCATTGACAGGTATTGTTTTTAATCCTGTTTGGTGTCTTGTCACCACCCCCTCACCAGAAAAGCCTAGCGAGAAAATCTTGAGTTGCCAACGACATGACTATACAGCAAGTGATATTGGGTTACATAGTACAAGTAACACTCTTTAAGTGACCTAATGGCTTACAAAATATTCTAATCAGATTTTGAGCTCCTGGAAGAAGTCAGAACTTGAAGATTGATGCATTAAAGAATTTTATAACATAAATCGGAGTTACTCTGAAAGTAATGCCTTGTATTTTATTACATTTGCCCACAAGAGGAGAATGTTCATGGTTTGTCAGTAGGATTTGAACCTTCCTCCCAGTAACCCGTAATTTTTTTTTTTTTTTTTTTTAACTGTTACAGATAGCAGTCTGGCAAAATGATATGACATGAAAGTGTATATAAAACTAAGGTATATCATTGAATTACTCCATGTGAGGAAAAAAATCAATTTCTAATTTAAAAGGAATAAATGCAAGACAGTGTTGCACAAGCATCACTTCAAAATGGCTACGGTTTTATTATGTTGGCTTAATGTCATCGGGGGCAGATGTTTGGTTTGGTTGATTTTGTTTAGTGACATATCCTTTTTTTTTTTTTTTTTTTTTTTTTTCTTAGTCTGGTTAAAATGATGTAATGGTGAGTCGTTTTTGTATGTGATAATCATCATTATATTCACCTTTCGCTGCTTGCCTTTTGTACATTTAGAGGTTGACTGTTAAGGCATGTCTTAACCTTTTACCAAACTTTTGACCTCATAATCTTCAGTTAATTTTTTTTTTCTTTCTTTGCAGTTACATTCTGCTGATGTCATTCACATAGGCGTGGCCAGTAATGGGCGATTTATCATGATTTGTTACTCAAACACCATTATTCATGTCACCACAATTAAAGGTTTGCCAATTAAAATAGATTGGAATTAATTATACCATAAATTGTGTCATACAAATAGTTTTCAAACGTCAAAAAATCTTTCCAAAACTAAGGTTCAACTTAGATGATGGGTATAAAATGCAAATCTTTACCACAAATTTGTAAACAAATAGGACAGCACTCTACACAGTTATTGTTCACCATTTAACATACTATATGTTGCAGTACAATAGAAATAAAAAAAAAAAAAAAACTGCCTGATGTGATGTGTAATCTATGGTATTAATATTTTATAGTAGCTGATGTTGACTTAAATGTATTTATTAGTAGACCTGATGAAATTTAAGTGTTCGCAAAGTTATACTAGTACAATATATGGCACCTACTTGTGTGTTGTAGGTTGTTTGCTATACAACATATAGAAAGATTACAGTTAGTATCTAGATATACAGGTAAGTGGTGTGATCTTATGTAATCATATACTGTAGCCTAAATTTTGAGCCATTGTTTCATTACTGTATGTTTGTTTGGGGGGGGTCAGCCTATATAAAGGATATAGATCTAACTTTTTTTTTTTTTTTTAGCTAAAAATCTTGGTCAACTTGTATGCCACAATTTATGGTAAATCTTAGTTTACTTTTATGTGTTTCTCTCTCTCACTTTCTGTGTTGCATGAATCCCACTGTTATTTAGTTTTGTTTTTATATAGAAATTAAATGAATAAGGTAAATTATATTAATAAATTAATGAAAAGTATTCACATGAAAATTAATTGTTTGGTAATTTGGTGAAGTTACTTAATTATTTCTAATGTGCTCTAAAGTGATTTTTTTTCTCCCTCTTTGTTCTTAAATCATCTGAATTTCTGGGATGAAGAGAATTATATAACTCACTCTCAGCTATTATAATATTATGTCTTGCTTAGGCTACTTGCTGCAACAACATTTAGAATTCTTCCTGACTGACTTCAACAGACTTCTGATGACTCATTTTGAGTTCTTTATTTAAGGCATCTTGCCTAGTTCATTTGCGTTACTGGGGGTGTCTTATTTATTCCACAACAAGGAGTTATCATTATTTGCATTTAAACTAATGTCCTCATCTTTGTTATTTTTATAACAGCCTTTTGACTATTGTGGCCTCCATCTTTATTCAGGTGTTTAATAATCCAAACTGAACACTTTATTTAATTGACAAAAGTAGATTGTTTTTGTTCTACTGTCTGTATCTGACATCTTACCAAGTTTTTATTTAGTACTGTTCAGTTATTGGTCACCCTGCTTCCACTTAATCTAAGTCTACACTACCCAGCTTAGGGATTGAACTCACAACTACTGTCAACAAATTCATGAACCAGTACTTTAATCTACTAGGCCTTTGTGTTGAAACCTTGTCATAACAACAAATATGAGGACAGTTGTCGTGACTTCTTCTCAAAAACAAATTTTTTAATTTTATAAACCTAGATTTCTTCAGAAACAAGAATAGATATTCATTATCTTTGCTCAGAAAATGCTGTTGATCTATTTTAAGTATTGAAGTTTAATTGTACCAAAATTGGGTTTTGATGCTTTAAATTATTTTTTATTTATTTATTTTGTTGCCCTGTGATAGAGATTTTATTTACTAATCTATATTTTCTCAATTTACAGGTGAAATTTTAGCCACATTAGACACTCACCAGGTAAATAATACCTTTGCTGCTGTCTCCTTCTGTGGTAGATTTATAGGCTCTGTTGGTAAGTAGAATAGATTGGTTCTGTTGTTATTGTTAGCAGATATATATATATTCATCTTACTTATAATACAATAATGTTGACAGTTTTTAATTTTTTATAGTAGATAATTTAATTTTCTTTTTAAAAACAAAAAAATTAAATTCATTATCTACAATGAAAAATTTAAAACTACTAATCTCATCATACAATAAGCAGGATGAATCTTCCCTTAGAAACATTGTAAAGGAATATACAGCTCTAGTCAACAAAAACAAGAATACTAAATTATCTACCATAAATTTAAAACTGTTAACCTCATCACAGTATTTATCGTATGAATTTCTCCTTAGAAATAAATATGGAGCACTGTTTTCTAAAAATAAAAACAAAAATACTAAAGAACTCTGGATTATTTACCTAACGTGTTCTTTCTTATTTTTCTATATATTTACACACACACATATATATATATATATATATATATATATATATATATATATTTATTAAAGACATTTTTATGTTTAACTTTTTTTTTATATAGATACAAGTATTTAGGTAAATGCTCTGTTTATAATAAACAGTATTAAATAACATTTACCGGCCTGAATGTACGAGAAATTTTCATAGAAAATATTTGTCCTTTGACAGGATTCGAACCTGTATCCTATACGGAACCGTCATTTACGCTGACATGCCTAACTTCTTGGCCATAAAGGAGCGTTCGGTAGGCAAGGTCGAATTTACTGCTTATAAACTTCAATTCGACCTTGCCTACTGAACGCTCCTTTGTGACCGAGAGGTTAGGCACGTCAGCGTAAATGACAGTTCCATATAGGATGCAGGTTCAAATCCTGTCAAAGGACGAATATTTTCTATGAAAATTTCTCGTACATTCAGGCCGGTAAATGTTATTTAATACTGTTTATTATAAACAGAGCATTTACTTAAATACTTGTATCTATAAAAAAATAGAACATTAAACATAAAAATGTCTTTTAATAAATAAATTGTTGGACTTTGTCCATTTCTTATATATATATATATATATATATATATATATATATATATATATATATATATATATGATTAATGTGAATAAAATTTTGTCACTTAGCTGATTGATGTTACCTTTTAGCATTCCAACTTCAGAGTTTTGTAGGCAGACCTGTCCATCCACTCTTCAAGAGTTATCAGCAATAAACTGGTGATATATTTGTCTTTTATATCTCTTCTTAAATTAAAAAGCAGACATAAAAGATAAATAATGGTCAGTTTGTGTATTAAATCTTCATATACAAATATTCTTGTAAAGAAATCTCTTTCCCTATCATTATCTCTCTCTCTCTCTCTATATATATATATATATATATATATATATATATATATATGAATGATCAGAAAATATTACTTTGTCCTTGCCAATGCATTTTGTCATTTGACTTTATCAAGACAAGTGATAAAACAAAATCAAAAATTTTAAAAAAGATGCTCCTGTGTAAGCCTCTTTTTGAATATTAGTAACTTTTTCAAAGAGCCTTACACAGGGTCATCTTTCTAAAATTTTTGATTTTTTTTTTTATGTAACTATACAACATTTCACTTTTGCTTATCATCACTTGATAAAGTCAAATGACGAAATGCATCAGCAAAGACTATTTTTCAATTGTCTTTTATTCAATTTGTCTTCTCTACAGATTTATTCTGAGAAATCTCTCTCTCACTCACACACACACACACGTGGACACTGAGTGGCAACAGTTTGTTTCATGCTTGAACGAAATCTTCATCTGATGATGCTGTTCAAGCATGATACAGACTGTCACCACTCAGTGTTGACCTCAGTATCCCTTTAAAATTTACACATGCTCTGTCCTTGATATTGAGCATTTTTATCCATAAAGCAGCATCCTTGTCATTAGGAAGAGGAGTCCAGATAAACATTTTGCCAACTACTCTCTTTTACCCACCACAGAGAACCCTCCCTGCCTCCCATTAGAATGTCTGATGCTTAACTCCACAAGAGAAACTCTCTGCAACTGCTTGGTCTCACACTGTCTGCTGACCCAAGATGGAACAAATACATTGAATCAATAGCTTCATCTACCGCAAGGAAAGTTGGTTCTGTGTCTCACCAGAAATTTTTTCTTGCCCGAGTCCTTTCAAATTTATAAGTCAACCATTTGCATAGAATACTGCTGCCATGTATGGTCTGGAGCCCCCGCTGTTTGTCTTAAGGTCCTCAACAAAATCCAGAGATGGATATGCAGTGTGATTGGCCCTGATCTGGCATCTCGTTTACAGTTGCTCTCTCACAGATGCACCATTACTTCCCTCTGTCTTTTCTACAAATATTTTCTTGTTAACTACTCTGACAAGTTGCTTTTGCTGGTTCCCAAACTGCATGAATTTAAATATGCTACTAATTTGGCATCTCAGTCCCATCTTTTCGCTGTCAAAATGGTTAAATGTAGCCGTCTCTTCTACTCCAATAGCTTCATGTCTTGCACTTCTTGCATTTGGAGCTCCCTTCCTCTTACTTGCTTCCCTCATAGTTATAATCTCCAAATATTCAAATGTAATGTCAATCAACTGATGCCTTGATCTATTCCCTGTCCTCTTCATCCTTTTCTCTATCACGCCTCTTTAATCTTGCTCCTACTCTCTGTAACCCCTTGTGTGCTAGTGTCACTACTGCCTTGCTTGGGGGCGAAATATTTAAAGAAATAAAAATGAACTCTTATCAAAAGCACTATATTAGGTCACCAAACTTAATTAAATCCATTCTTTAAGAACCTAACATATTTAACTACTATGAATGGTGTTGATGTAAGAATGTCACCAAATCAACATGCAGACAAGGCTCCAACCATAAATAATACCTACTAAATACACTAACACACACAAATTATATACACAGATGCTGCTTGACAAGTAAAATGCATGTGATGTCTGCTTCACCAATGAAAATCAAACCACACAAAAATAAAAATACCAGAAATTTTTCTCTGTATATCATTCTCTGAGGAAGCTTTAATAAAAGCAAAACCTGTTAGACTTAAGAACATTTTGTTCTTTATCCTATCATTGTCAGATTCCAATCCATGTTTGAGCTGTATTCCAACCCAGTTCATATTCACACACATATATATATATATATATATATATATATATATATATATATATATATATATATAGTTTCAAACACTCAATCTTGTAAATGAAAAAGAACACAAGGAAAAAGTCTATTTACCTATAATTAACTGCCAAAATAGAAAGATTAAAATAACTCCTGTATCCATTGTCAGTTATGGCAAATAATAGTGATGTGAGTGCCAAAGTTGGGACCACAGAAGGAAAACACGGATTAGATGTAAGAAAGTTATATTAACAACAGGTTACAGAGATAGTGTAAGCGGAGCTTACTATATGTTAGTGTCCAACACTGGTAGTCGTACGAGACTCTCTGTGTCACTCTCTGTCTCTCTCTCTCTCTCTAGAGTGCTATGTCGCCTACTTAATAAAGGCCTGGAAGAGTCTATTGTGTAGGTAGTTTCTGGTCTCACAATAAATAGCCAATTCCACACTTACCTTTGTATAGGTACCTCCACTCAGTTTTGATACCTAAAGTTTAAAATGAATTTTTAAAAATGACAAAGCATTCTTTATTCTTTCATTTTAGCTTTAATTGAAAGCTAAGTGATTAAATTTACTTTTTCCAGCAAGCAAAATACTCTGGCATATTTCAAATAGGAATTATACTGATTGGAATTTCAACCTTTTGGTCACTTTCAGAAAATCTATAAAAATTGGCCATTTTGACACATTTGTAAACAAAACTTAATTCCCAGTTTTAAAAATATTCTGTAAATAAAGTATACTTTTCTGAAATTTGAGGAATATTTAGTGATTTAAAGTATAATTAATCTGATTTGAAAAAAAATTATTTACTTTAAGTTTCAAATAACAGAGAAATGGATTTTTAAAACAAACTGTATCAGTGATTACATGCTTTTCATGATTGCTTGTCATCACTTGTAGATCACTTAACAAGTGATGATAAAATCTATCAACATATTTACTATTGTTCTACATAGACTTTATCTGTTAAAACATAATTTAAGAAAATGACGGGTGAGCGCTTTTTTTTTTTTTTTAACATAATTTTTAGATACTCAGTTATCTTAAAAATGTTTAAAAAAATTCTCTGTAATCTAATTTTGGGAATGGTGAATTTAAATTTACTGTCGTCATCGCTCTTATTTTCTGTTTGTCATGTATGGTTGACCATACTTTCAAAGAGATTCTAAAAAGTCATATTTGTCTTGAAGAGATTAGTAATTTCTCTTGTTAAATCTTTTTGTTGTGTTTTCCTGGTTCCTAATAATTAACCCCCACCCACCCAAAATAAACTTGTTTATTGATTTCTACCTTCTTGTCCACTGTAATGGCAACAGTCATCCGAGAGACATAAAAACAGAAATCAAGGGCTACTTTTGACTTGTACTGTATTTGTAGAATTATCTTTTAATTCTAAAACAAAAAAAAAAATACTTATTCTAGCTTAATAACAGTGATGAGAATAAGTGCTAAACTTTGATTTCTAGTTAAAGCAATAAAAAAATACATTTTTTTTTATTTTTTTTTTTTTTCTGATGGGCAACTGAAAATGACTTGCCTATTTTCTCTATTAAAAGACAATCAAATAACCAATTCAAGTTGATAGATTTTTTTCATCAGTGTGCTGTTATTTGACTCTATTTGTAATGATTTATTTTTCATTAGATTTTTTTCATGTTTTAGTATCTGTTTTTTGTTTTTCCTGTTTTAGACATTGAGTGACTTGAATTTTTTTTTTTTTTTTTTGTACAGGTTTCACTCCTGATGTGAAAGTTTGGGAAGTTTGCTATGATAAAAATCGTCTTTTCAAAGAAGTGAGTCGAGCATTTGAACTTAAAGGGCATATGGCAGGAGTTCGGTGTTTCTCTTTCAATTATGATTCAAGCAGGTGAGGATTTGAAATCATCTTTTATCACCTTTGGTAGCAGAAAGAGTGTCCTTAAAAGGAGAGACCATGTTATCTTATAGATTGATATTCAAGAAAAGATTATTTAATTCAAGAATTTATGGTCACTGGGATATTGAAAATAAAGAGAAATCGTTGTTATTGTCCCTGGTGATTCAAGTGCTCTTAAAAATGAAAAGAATACAAATTTCAAATTCCAGACTAAAATCAGGGTAGGAAATTGTTGGCCATTTTATTCAATATTGAAGAATCTGCAATGTTATTGTTCCTGACATCTTAGCTTCAGTTGCTTTCCCTCTGCCATAATGTAGTTTCTCTCTGCCTTTTCTATAAATACTTTCATGCTAATCTATGTGTTATTTGAATTATTGTTAGAGAAACATAAAATTTAGCAACAAACATACTTTTTTTTTTTTTTTTTTAATATATATTATCTCTTATAAAAATGCAACAAGCAGTATTTGAAACTGACATAACACTAAAAACAAATTCATGGCTTATAAAAGCTAAAGTACTCAAATATTGACCAATTAATATATAAATATGTACCAGAAATTAAAAAAATTGATCTGAAATATATAAAAAAAAAAAAAAAAAAATTGTTCTCACTGAACTTTGGGCAGACTTGGAACTTTGTGTCCACATAAAACAGTGTGTTGAAAGGGAGGTTTTTCCATTGAAGTTGCTATTATTTTAACTACCTTGTCATGTTATCGATTTAAAAGTGAGGGTTAGAATTGTAATGAAACAAACATATGAAAGTGAATTTGTACATTTTCTTTTGTTCTAGAGAATTGTCAACAAAAATATAATCACTATTATATTGTTTATCAGAATGGTTGGCAAAATTTATAAAATAAGGATTTCTTTATAGTTGGTTCACATTTTAATAAATTAGTAAATGTTTATAAATTTATGAATAAAAAAAATAGTTTTAATATTTATTTCTTTTATAAATTGGTAAATGATAAATATTGCATTGCATCGGTTGTGTTAGTTTTAAGAATGTTGTAAATATAAAATTATTTTTGTAAATAAACTAATAAATAAATATTGATTTAATATTTTTGTTATAAATTCTCAAGAACAAAAAAAGTATACAAATTCACTCATTATATAGTTAGGTTTTATTACAATTCTAATCATGACTTTTTAAAACAATAAACATTGCCAAGGAATGAAGATACTTCAAATAATAGTGATGTCAAGGGAAACACTTTTGACCTTTTTATTTTTATTTTTTTTTCTTTAAATGAAAAAAGTTTGAATTGTTGTTGGTCTTTACCTATATTGTATAAATGAAAAACTGCTGTCCAAATACACCCAATTCAAAAATGTTTGTGTACATATGAATTGAGAATATTGATTGAATCTGACAAGATTATTTAAAATGGGACATGTGAGAGGATAAATCTTGATAAATTAAACAGGTTTCAACATTTCTTTAGCTTCATTGGAAATTTTTGGAAGCACCAATTTTCGATTTTTAAATTTTACGTTTTGATTGTGTGTGTGTCATATGTATATCTTATCGCATCTGTGTTTGTTTGATTCTGGAAATATTAATGCATAATTCAAGTCTATTAAAAATTGAGTATATTCTATTTGTAAATATGATAAATGTTGAAAGTGAATGTGTAATACAAATTATATCCTCTGCATATGCTGGTTCTTACATTCTTTAAGTACAAGTTTTATGAATATCTGTCATATCGAGAAATTTGATGAGCATTTATTGTATGTTGATTATTTATTAATATTCCTTCTAGGTATTTTCTACATAATAAGTTGTATTCTTACTATAGAAATGCACTAACCAATGACTTTCCAACACAGAATCACATTATAAAATGTTTTACTAAAGATTTTACTACTGAAATAGCTAACAAAAGGATCTTGTTAAAAGAAAGCCTGTGAAACATTATCCTATTATAATTGTGCTTGCTCCTTCTTTTGTTAGCTCACACAACTGTTATGTCCTGCCAATACCTCATAAGTAATAAACTATTCCATTTTGATCATTTGGAAAAAGGAAGAAAGACACTACTTGGTTTCAGTGAGAAAAAGAAAGGAAGATTGGAGTGGAGAAAGAGAGAATCAGATTAAGCTGATAAGAAAAGATGTTACACTTTGATCTTAGCCAAAAGAGTGAGAAGCAATTGTATTTTCTTGCCACCCTACACTGGCAGGATGTGACACAAGGTCAGTTTAATGTGGTGAACCCGGGCCAGGATCAAAAATAGCCCAGCTCCCACAACTGTCTGTTGTACTGGCATTGGTTTGCTATCAGTCTCTCCTCTTCAGTGCAGTGAGGGAGGTACTACTCAAGACCAGGCACCTCACAAAAATATTTTATATTACATGCGCTTTCCACAGAGACACAAATGTAGTTTATCTGCGCAAGACTTTGATCCCAGCCAAAGGGCTGATAAGCATTTATTTTTCAGCACGTCCTTTCCTTTATGTGGACACTGGTAAATAAACCCAACCCCCTCCTAAAGGAGGGGTACTGCCTGGCTATGGGGGAGGCCTAGAAGCTGTGGCAAACATAAGTGGCATTTTTCAGATGCACAATATCAAACAACATAAACTGAGTAAGGTAATCGCCAAAAATCTAGTTACCTTAAATAAAATAACATCATCTGCTAAATTAATTTTAAATTATCGAGAGAAATGTTTGTAAGACTTGGCTGGTTGAAAATAATTTTCTGATAGTGATTTTTGCTGTAGGGATCTGTAAATTGTATTTGAGTTATTTACATAAGATTCCTTATTCTGAAAACTTCTCAGTTTGACCAGCTTCATGAAATATAATCAAACCTCAAAATTATCCTTTCATCATCATCCTTCAACCACACTATGGTTGGTTGGAACTCCATTGACAATCCCTTTCCACACTGTTCAGTCCTCCATTGCACTCCCCAGATCCCTGGTGTCCAATCCTGAGTCCTGAGCTATGGGGTCTGAGGAAAGTCAATTTTCATGAGAAGACACTTCCAGAAAAGATACCATAGGAGTAAGGATGAGATGATTTCCCTGTCTGCTCAATGACAGTGTCCTGCAAACTGTAATCATTTTTGTTTGAACTTAAGAGTGCTTGGTCTCAGTTCTCCGTAAATTTCATTAAGCATTGCATTTGTTGGTCTGGATTTTTCTAAGTAGATTTATATATATATATATATATATATATATATATATATATATATATATATGTTCCATCCATATTATCCTTGTGTGTGTGTATTTAGACACACACATAATTTCCAGCTATTCACCCATATAAAATATATTACTCAAAATACTAAAACATATATTCTTTTGGCAGAATGGCTTCTGTATCTAAAGATGGAACTTGGAAATTTTGGGATACAGATGGTGAGTACTTTGCAATTAAATGAACTTTGTCTCTTCAGTCAACTGAATTGAAACTTTTGAACTAATATTTATTTTAAGTGTGCACAAAATTTCCCAACACCCCTGAATACAAAGTAATTTTTTTATTTTGTTCCTTTTAAATGCTGGTCACTTTTGCAAACACCTAATACTTGGGTTTAGTTTGTGTGTGTGTGTATATATATATATATATATATATATATATATATATATATATATATATATATATATATATATATATATATATATATCAGAGTATATGGAAAAACAAAAATCTGAATATATGCAATATGCTGTTTTAATGTTGTTTTTAATTTGACGTCAGAACGTTTTCTGTTTTGATTAGTAGTTACTTCAACATGTTAACATTGTTATTTTCAAAACATGACTTGAATATTGTCTAATGTTAATTGTGTTTAATAATTGTCCTGAAGAAGGTTCTTTTAGACTGAAACGTCTGACGACTAATTGAAACAACATTAAAAACAGCATACTTTTATATTCAGATTTTTGTTTTTTCCATATATTTTCTTCATACTGTCGCATCTATATCCATATATTTGCTTACATACACACACACACACACATATATATATATATAAATTTTTTTTTTTTTTTTTTTTTTTTTCTTCTTCAGTTCAAAGTACCTACCAATACTTAAATTTATATTGACATTTCTATCGTGGATCAATGGTTGTTATTTATCTAGCTCCCTTGTTAGCTTTTCTGCTGGAGAGGAGGGTAGTATGTTATTCCACAGAACAAAAACCTGTCAAAGGGTAGATGAGCTTCTTATAGGAGCCAGTGGCTAACATGTATATATAGGGTGGGTGGAAAGGAACTCCCTATTTAAAATTAATAACTATTAATTATTGCTCAATTTTAATACAACCTGTTATATTTTGTTCAGTGTAATAGTAGAAGTACTGTACAGTGTCAAAATTCTACATAGACACCAGCATTGTCCACTACTGTATTAATTGTCTGGATATATTCTTAATATTTCCTGTACTTTTTACACATTTTCTTGTTGGATGTTGAAAGGACAACCACTTCTGCGTGTATCTGTCACAGATCATATATTCAAATGACAATTTCTGATGGTTTTGTCATCTACTTATGCACAGGGGTCCATGAACACTGTGCCACCATCTCTGCACTTGTACCACTGACTGCAACACTTTGTAATGGGATGCTACCTAAGTAACCTCATGTAGTATCATACATTATGAGATACACTTGTCACTCTTAAATAAAAACTGAAATTAGAAATTAAATTCTACCACTGTAGGGATTATAATATATTTTGTTTCGTGCAAATGTGATATTAACAAAAGTTCTAAGTAATTTTCAATAAGAAGTTTCTCCCCATCCTGTGTGTATAATATATTATTATAGAAAGTTTCAGACCTCCATGACCCTAGACTTTATCTCCCATGGGCCCAGCTGAGAGCAGTCGTCTCTTGATTAGCATTGTGGCATAAGTTCTGCATGATATCAAGAATTACAGTACAGTATAAATATCCGTATTTAAATTGTGCAATGGTCAGCTTTCTATCAGCACCTGACAATTGCATTATGAAATTCAGAGTTGTGCTACATGTGAAGAAAAAAAAACTTTATTAATATAAATTTTACCTCTGTTATTTACATTGAGCACTTTTATTTGTATGAGATATATATATATATGTGTGTGTGTGTGTGTATATATATATATATATATAATGTGTGTGTGTGTGTATTATGCTACGCACACAGGTGGTTCTCAACTTATTGCAGATAAGCACCCAAATATCTGCCTTATGCTTGAGAACCATAATGAAAGTCAAAAATTACCTCCCCCCCACCCAAGAAAATGACACAAACGAGATATAGTGAATGTAGCACAATTCAATATGGTGTACAGCCAGTGAACCAACATCATCTTCCTCGTATAATGCCACGTAATGATGTCTAATGGGAGATGGCAGCACAAAAAAAATATAATCACTCACAGGTTCTCAAGCCTTGAATGGCAACCTTCATAGATGGTTTCTCAATAAAAAAAACAAAAAAAAAACCTCTGTACTTGAACTAGCACGGATGTCTGAGTTGGGTGTTAGCATTGTGAAACCCTGGTTCAAGTCATTATGACAAATTCTCTGTTAGTCAGGACTAACTTTGCTTTTCCTAGATTAATCCTGTTCTTGTCTCAATAAAAAAAACTCAGCTATTCATGTATGTATGCATCTATCTCTCTGTCTATCTATCTTGTTTTCTTTTTCATTTTATAGTCCAGTACCAGCTGCAGCAAGAACCTTATTTGTTATTTACTGGAAAATTCCATTCGGATCCCACATACATTGCTCTCTCCCCAGATGGTCGTACAGTTGCTATGAGTCATTCTAACACTATTGCCTTATGGAATACAGTATCGAAAAAATGTGATCAAGTCATGGAGAATGTGCATTATGGTAAGATTGTTTGCTAATTGTCATAGGTTTTTAGTATGCCAAGTTTGTTGGAAATCCATCCAGTAGTTTCTCAGTCGAAAGTGGGCAGACAACCACTTCATTTTATTTGTATTGATAGCAATGCTTCATTTAAGAAATTTGTACGTTATCTAATATTAGGTTGTCCCAAAAGTTTGTAAACACTTGCGAAAAATTGAATTTTTATGCAACAAGATCGATTCAGCAAGAAAGTCATGTTATGATTTGGTGGAACTTTTGAAGAATCGTGCATTTTGAGTTGGTTCGAATGGCCATGCCATCAGTGCGAACTTTACTGTCAGCAACTGGGCGGGTCTACAGAAAGTTGAAGCAAAAGTACCCGGCTTTGATCAACCCAAAGCACGCTTTGATGCAGCAGGACAATGCCAAGCCACACACCGCCAGGAAGACCAAAGACAAGTTTGAAGAGCTGGACAGCATTGAGGTTCTGCCACATCCAGCCTACAGTCCTGACTGTGCTCCATCAGATTACGGCCTTTTCCGCTCAATGCAACACTTTCTGAAGGGCCGCCGATTCGACTTGTTTGATGAAGTTGAGGAAGCGTGTCAAGAATTCTTTGATTTGAAGCCGGCAGAATGGTACTTTCACCAGATCCGAAAGCTTGCAGATCGATGGCAGAAAGTCTTGGAAAATGGTCTTTATTTTGAGGAATAATTTTTGTTGTTTTTGTTATTACTTGGAAAGTAAAATTTCAATTTTTTACAAGTGTTTACGAACGTTTCGGACAACCGAATACTACTAGAGTATATAAAAACAAAGTGCAGCAATAGTAAGAGAAGTAAAGAATACAATATGACTTAATTGAGAACTGTCATCTATTGAAATCATTTCTGACCAAATCAGAAATAAAAATTCTTGCAGGAAAACAGGCTTCTCACAATAAGGGATACAAGTTCAGACCTTTAAATTCTTTATTTTTGATCTTCATTGCATAATGGCATGAGAACATTCTGAGAGGTGTGATAAAGCATCAAAAATAAAATGAGACTATTGTAACAATACAATTTCTCATACATTTTTAGAAGATAATTAGATAAATTCTTTCATTTAAGTCCACTTAGCTATCTGAGTTTCATAAGAATTTCATCTCCAGTACATCCATGAGGCAACTGAATTGCCAGGTTTTCAGGATTCATATCTCCAGTTTGCCTTTGAATTGGCAAACAAAATTTTATCAATGATTTAAGATAAGCATAAAAGCAGTTTATTTACATTATTCAGACGATTGTCCTCATCTTTTTCACCATGTCTATCACAACGTTTCGGCCGTTGTACGCCCCAGCCTTCTTAAGGTGGTTGGAATGTCGAACCGAACACTTTATTTCGCTCACTGGGGTAGACTGTTCTAATTCCACGTGCCATGTTTGATGGATGTCAGTTATCAGTTATCTCCTGTTAATTTCCCTCTGAAAGTTCTCCACTGCCTTAACCAGGTATTGAACTCACACTCTTTGGGTCCTGTCACTGGATCTAACTAACGCCTTTATCCACTGTGCCATGTATCCTCAAGGCAACTGAATTGCCAGGTTTTCAGGATTCATATCTCCAGTTTGCCTTTGAATTTACGATAAACATAAAAGTAGTTTCTTGAAGATTTGACCACCCATATTGCTTTAGGGTGATCTCAACACTTTGGATGGAAGGATGTGGGGATGTGACCCCAGCCATTATCCATGTAAGCAGTGAGAAGAGGTCCAGCAGGTTGTGAGAAATCAGCAGGGTCTTTGTAAGGAAGTGGTAAAAGTAAATGCCCAGTGGCCAGTCACTGAAGGAATCAGAAGTCACCAAGAAAAAATGGCCAGTAAGGAAGACACCATCCAAGGTTAGATAGCCGGCTATCTTTTCCTTCAGCTGAGCTGCTAAGTGAGAAATCATATTGCTGTGAACTCCCAACTAATGTCTTTATAAACATTTGTTGTCATTGTTATTTGTTCAAAACGATCACAACCAAGAAGTCAAACCTTTGCACATGACAAGTTGGGTGTATATGCAAATACAATCAGACTTGGACGTCATCACAGGTGCAGTGAATGATGGATGAGCAGATAATGTTGTCACAAAATCACTATTAAATTTGCTATTAAAAAATAAATACCATATATACTAGAGTATAGTGTGAGTTTTTATGATCAGTTTCTTTTACATTGAAAATATGGGTAAATTTTTTGTTAAAAATCATTTTGGTTAGGGATTGCAATATGCACAGGTAATTTTTTTTTTTTTTTTTTTTTTTTTTTTTTTTGGTGGGCTTAAAATTCATGCATTTTTGGTGTCTAACCTACCTTTCAGGCTATCATTCTTGTGGTACCATGCATGAATGAAAACTGAAGTATAGTATCTAAATCTTCTCAGATATTTTGCAGTTTGATTTTTGTTTTGTTTTTTGGGTTTTTTTGTTTGTTTTTTTTGTTTTTTTTTGTTTTGTTTTGTTTTTTTTTGTTTTTTTACCATTTTGGGTTAGCTTTGGACAAAAATTAAGACCATTTATTATTTGCTAAAAATATATATCCAAGATGATGCCTAGTACTGCAATATTTGACTACAGTAGGCCTATTAGTATTGCTCAGGAGGTGGATTCACATTATATACAAGGCATCACACTATACATGAAGTCTGATTATACAAGACTATATACGCTAATAAATTTTTTTTTTTTTCCTCTGCCTATATAATTATGACATTCTCTTATTTTGATGATTCCACAATGACTGCAGAAACTGATCGGGAGCTGGGGACACAGAAAGTATGCCAGGTTAGACCAGCATGATAATGTTAATATTAGCCATTTCTTTATAAGGAAACATTCTAGATTCATTGACCAAGTAGCCAGTATTACTTTTTGGCACAATTCATAAAATCTTTCTATTAAAATAATTTTTCAGGAAAACGAGTTTCTCAGTTCAGTAGTTTTTATTGCTATTTCTAGTATTGATGGGAGATTTCCATCCTAACCATTTGTTTGAAGTAGTGTAGAACATCAACATCTTGATTATATCATTATTTTCTCTTAGAGTTAGGTGTGATATCCATTTTAGTTTTTGGTACTGTTGAAATTCTTCAAGTGACAGGATATTTTGTTATTTGGTATAGTTCTTTGTTTATGATTCTTTAGCACCGGTTAACAAAGTCCACATTTTTGTTAACATATAGTATCATTTTCTGCTGGATACCTAGTCATATCAACATAAAGGGCAAAGATGGGGCAGATTTAACAGCCAAAAAAAGCATCAACCGCCATAGATTTATTAGATAGTTTTAACACCAAGATCTCCTACACATACCCCTAATCAAACATTAACATATTTATCAAAGAAAAATGGCTGAAACTATGGACCATCTGCCCAAAACAACAAATTATACAACAAACTTATTATACAAGAATGGCATCAAACACTAAAAACAAAGAAAGATGAAGTAATAATGTCCAGACTTTATATCAAACACTTCATGATCACACATTCTTATATTATTAAAACAAGAACCACCTCCAATCTGTACAGCATGCCAAGAAAATAAAATATATATTAACAAATTGTAGTGACTTAACCCAAATCCATTTAAAATACTACCAAACAACCAACATGAAAGAACTTTCATGACATTAATCTATATAATATCCTACAATTTCTTAGAGAAATCACTGTTCCACAATATAACTTCAACAAATCTACAACATAAAACACACATATCACCACCTCTCATAATTATGTCCATACAAACATGTATATGCACAAAAGCTGAGTATCATCTACCATGTATTCAATTGTGAAAACAGAATAATGTGTATCATATTTTTATCACTTCAAAGCTCCTGACAAAATTAAATAATTTCTCTGTCGGGGTGAGGAATAAATATAACAACATAGCAGAAAGTTCATCAGCATCACCATTAAAGTATTATTAACACTTCCATTATTTTAAACCATATTTTACATGTGGATAAGTCTATTATGACTGTATTTTCTGCAAGTATATTGTGGACAGTTTGGTAGGTAGGTAGGTCTGTGTGTATTTAAATAGATCCTAATGAAGATATGATCTGAGAGATTCAATTAGAAATAAATAAATTCACTTGCCGGATTTGGCTGGTTTGTCTGAAAAGCATTAAGAGCTTTTTTGTTTTCATTTTTATTATTATTATTGTTGTTGTCGTCTTCGTTGTTGTTAATAATATTGATATGGCAGTACCTGCAGACTGCAATGTATCTTTGAAGATCTTCTAAAAGATATCAAAATACAAGGACCTTGAAATCGAAATCTCAAAAATGTGGCATATAGGAACATCAACAATCCCCTTGTAGTTGGAGCCCTCGGATTGGTTGGAAAAGATTTCAGTAGACTAATTGAAGGGATCCCTGGAAGCCTATGCCTTAAAGAAATACAAAAAATTGTTTTCACAACTACAGTCCACAACTTATGAAGGGCTTTGTCTATGTAAAAAATTTTTTTTTTTTTTTTTTTTTCCCCAGTGGAAAATGTTATGATGCCATTTCTAACCTTAGGTCACTGGGCAGGACCCGGAAAGAAATGAGTACACATCAGAAATCAAAGGAAATAAAATAATAATAATTTTTTTTTCTTTTTTTCTTCAGATCCTGTAGTTGGGCTCAGTTTCAGCAGCTCTAGCAAATACCTTGTCTCATTGGGAGACAAGCATGCAATTATTTTCCACAATGTGACTGGTTACAAAGCAACCATTGAGGATTTAGAGAGCAGGAAACAAAAGGCTTCATCTAATACTGCAGCTGAAAGAATACAGCTACAAATAGACGAAACAAAGTGAGTTAACTACAAACACTACACAATCCTTGCTTCTCAAATGCTTCTTTCCCTGAATAGTTATTTATTCTTTCTCTATTGTTCTGCTTATAAAGGGAATTGATTTTTCACTATGTTGTATCCCTAAAGAAGGTTACAAAGAGACAAAGGTGGTACTCTAGTGAAAGGAAGAGCAACATGCATAGATGAAAGAAAGGGAGACTTATTGTAAAGGATAATATACTACTGAAAGATGGAATCTGTTAACAGGCTAGTAGTTGCCAAAGCAAGGTTATTTACCTCACCACCCCATGAGTTAGGATGTGGCACAAGGCCGTTTTTAATGTGGGGTAAAACCCAGCCTGTAGGCTCAGGCAAAAATTCCCCATAAAAAACGAGGTCGGGTAGCTGTCTACCACCCCAGATGAGACTCTTCCCTTTGGCAAAGCCTCATCTGGGTTCCTCTCTGACTGAGTTTGACTAGCATAGCTTGAGACGAATCTCCAACTAATTGCCGAAGCAAGTCTGCCAGGTATATCCTGTGCACATTATATATATATCTACTGGTATGGTCAGTCCACACTAGGCAATAGGGAGAGTGGGACAGTACAAATAATGCAGTTTTCTGTCTTCTTAAATATCTACAAAACTTTTTGTCTTCATAGATTAAATCATAATTATATTCTGGCTTTTAAAAATGGCCGTTTTGAAACTATGTATCCACATATCTAAATATAAAGGGTGTCACCCAAAAATGTATACAAACTTTAAGTAATTATAAAGTCAGTCTTTATTAAATATACATTTCATTTATAAAATTAAATAAAATCTACAGCCATTATTTTATTGTCAACACCAGTTTTCAAACTGGCGTCTGTTCTGGTCCAGGCACTATTGACAACATGAAGCAACAGAATCACAAACATCAAACATTTCATTTGGTATTTTTGTGCATTCTCATTCAATAGCTGCTCTCAGTTCAGCAACTATTTCAGGTTTCATAGCGTAGACTTTGTCTTTTAAGCATCTCCATAAAAAAAAGTCTAGTGGTGTGAGGTCTGATGAACACTGAGTGTATTCTGTGAAACCCCTTTGTCCAGTCTACCTGTCTGGCAAAATCTTGGTAGTGTGGGTGTGCCCCATATTGCTGAGAAGAAAACACCTCATCTTCAAAGTCCTCTCTAACACTTGGCATGACAGTCTGTTTCAGCAAGTTGAACTAAACGGGACCAGTCACAGTAAGCTTCTTCCACCCATTATGCTAAATACCGTTTGCGATATGCCACTCTTTGGTTTGGATCATTGTCATTAATAGCATGGACTAATCTTGGTATGTAACTTTAAACTGACAGCACTTCAAAATGTGTTCGACAGACAATTCATGGTCATTGGAATTATTAAGCCAGACTTCCAAATTCCAGTCAGAACCTCCCAATTTCTATTTCCCTACCCATAGTAAAAAAAAAATATTAATCACTGTAAAGTGGTAAATTGAAAAATATAACAAAAAAAGAACCCCTGCCCAAAGCATATTGGTTTTTTTTTTTTTTGTTTGTTTTTTTTTATTCATGACATGACTTTACAGTTTGTAATATGTTTCCTTGTTATCATTCCTCCTCCTTTCTTTTAATATCTTTGTATCTATCATGGAACATATACTTTTAATTTTTTTTTTTTTTTTTTTTTTTTTTTTTTAGGCATGATAAAATTTTGTAAACCCCCCCTACACACACACACACACACAGCTTCCCAAAATTTGACCATTTTATATCATACTTATTTAAAGGGCTTCCTAGGCCAGGTTGAGAACTTCTCTTTTTTTTTTTTTATTTTTTTTTTTTTTTTTTTTTTTTACTCATGACTTGGTCTGGGATACACTCACCATCATGCTGGAAATATTGAATCATAATTTTATTAAATTAACTTTCAAGGGAGATAACTAAGGATTTTTTTTTTTTTTTTTTTTTTAATTGTTTCTATTTTAGTGTAATTTCAGCATTTATAAAACTAGTCTTTCTACTCTTAATTATTAATTTACTAGATTAAATGAAACTGAGATGCAATTAATTTTTAGCTATAATTGTGTAAACTATTTTATGGATGCTTTGTGGATACTAGATTTTCATCTGGCCATTGCCACAAATTAAGGTTTATTTTTTATTTTATTTTTTTTAAAAAATTTTTGCATGATTATATAAGTGAAAATCAAAATGGCCAAATGCACTTTACTTATAGTGAGTTAAAGTACTTATTAAGTACAGTAGATCATCTTAGATGACCTGGAAACTTTATTTTCTCCTGGGCAATACTATATCTTCATCTACAAGCAATAGCTGTATTTTTATTCTTATTGTTATTATGATACAATTACTATTAGTTTAAAAAAAACATTAAAGTGTGCTATTTGGTACCCAGATAAGGATCATACTTAGCTGGGTCCTGAAAAGCAAAGCATTGCAGTACTCTGATTTTTAATATTTTTTTTACATAATTATTGCTCTAGGTAGTTATGGAACACTTTCTCAAAAATTCTTTGCACCTTCACATATGTTAAATTATATAGTTTTATGTATATCAGTAGGTATTATTATTATTATTATTCTATTAGTTGTCAGCACCCACTTGCATTGAGATTGCTATCCTCTCACTTTATTTTGTTTTCTCCCCTCTGGTGACAGAGATGGCTCTGAAGGCTCTGTCTACTCCTAAAGAGTAATCAAAGAGTTTGACGAGGTCATTTGCATGAATTTGATTTTGGTAGAAAACTCTGCATGATAGAGAAGTCTGCAAACTTGGCCAGAAGCGCCTCCTTTGCAGCTCAAAAGGGTTTGACAGGTGAGATCTGGCAAACCTGGTTGCGTCGGTCTGTCAGATGCTTGGTCTGACAAGGTTCGCTTTGCCCAAACAGTGCTGCTCTCTTCTACCGGTTTGGTTGCTGAGATTGTATAGATATTTGCCTTTTCTGCCAGTGGGGCCCTTCAAGGGTAATCACATTCAATCTGATCCCCCACCTCCTCCTCCTCAACCTTACTGTTATGGATGTTCCTGCAGGAATTGAAACTCCAGACAGCTTTTCTCTTTTGGATCACTGAAACATACAAACTCTCTATCATGACAAGGAATGACCATATTTATTTTAGACTGGACGTCAGTGAACAATTTGTTTATCAAATGTATCATTTTGACTTATCATTTTCATGACAATAATAGAAACAAATTAATAAATAAGAAAAGAGTAAAAAGATAATAATAACAGTAGGAGTAGGTAGGCTTTCCTGCTGCCCGTCAACACTCCTCCCCTTCTCTTGGACATGAGTAGAGGGAAACGCCTTGTTTCTTGTTTAGGAAGGGGTTTCAGTACTCTCTCTCTTGCTCTCTGGCCTCTGTATCTCCAGTTGCCTTGATCTATCCACTCTCTTCTTCTCATCCTTTCTTCTATCACTCCCATCTGATCTTGCTCCAAATTTTCTGTAACCCTTGCATCCTAGTGGCTTTCTGCCTTGCTTTAGGGTGAAACGCTTAAAAAAAAAAAAAAAAAAAAAAAAAAAACACTACAGCTGCTGATAACATTTCATGGATGGTAGCTATAACTGGAGGATAAGTGACAGCAAGTTTCATTCAATGTTTAGCACTCTTAGTATCCTTGAAGATCTCGGCAACGCAATGGTTTGAACAGTCTCAAATCTCTTCATCATCCAATTTTCTCTTTTGCATGGTGAGAAATGGTCTACCAACAATGGACAAAGAATTTTGTTATGAAATTTTTTTTTTTTTTTAAATTCTTACACTTTTTATCTAATGTATTTTTCATAACCACATTAAAAGAGTTTTTTTTATTTCTTTTTTTCTTAAGAGCGGCTCTTGATGAAATAAACTTGTCCAAAGAATGAGGCTCGGGCCAACTTGAATGATACAGAGGCGAATTATGGACCTTACATTTGAGTCAAGTGTTCCTCAGGGAAGCTGAAGGCAGCAGTCATCATTTGTACATTTTGTTACTTGGCAACAACATACACATACACTTTCTTTTGCATCTTGTAATCTTTGGTGCTTTTGTGTCCTGCAATAAATGAAAAGATATTTTGTTTTTTGAATAAAAATTGTATTTTAGTTTTTCATTCTACAGCTTGAAAAGTACAAAATATTTTTGTTAGAAGCAGGTTTTTTGATCAGAAAAATGGCAAATTAACCAGCGGGATAGGATGTTAGTTGGTCATCTTGTATAAGAATTTCATGGGGTGTGTGTATATATATATATATATATATATATACACACCCCATGAAATTCTTATTCATGTTGACTTGAATATCGTCTAATATTAATTATGTTTTAATAACTGTCCTGAAGAAGGTCTACTAGACCAAACGTCTGACGTCGTACATTAAAACACCATATACTTGCATATTCAGATTTTGTTTTTCCATATTTTTTTCACACTGTCGGATCTATATATATATATATATATATATATATATATATATATATATATATGACAGAGTATTTAGAAGGTAATATCCTGAAGTCTATAACAGAAGAGGGCAAATTTTTTTTTTTCATGGAGGAGCTTATTATTATCAGCCCTGTGTAAACTGGGCAGCATGACAATAACATGATCAGATAAATGGTGAGTTAACTAGCAGTATAGGGTAAATAGTTGAACATTTTGTATAAGAACTTTGTGTGTGTGTGTGTGTATATATATATATATATATATATATGTGTGTGTGTGTACTTTCATGCATTTCCTTCAAACCCTTGTTTCTCACTCCCACACATACTCTTACTGAAATTGTTTTTTTTTGTTTCCTTTTGAATTTGTAGGTCTGATGAATTGGATTGTGATTCTAATATAATGAATTATAACTATGGAATATTAGTGTTTAAGCCTTGTATATATATATATATATATTTAGGCAGCAATCCTTCCTTTATTCATGTTACATGAAAAACGACAGACAAGGTACTACGGTTGAGTTTTTTTATTTAATTTTTCTTGTGTTCTGACAAGAGCTTTCTTTTCTGGACAAAGGGTGTGTAAGAACTGTCCGAATGTTCTATATTTCCGAGCGCTTTTGGCTATACCTTTAGCCATTATCAAGGATGATTCGATTATCACTTTACTAGAGTGTATGTGTTCTGTGTGTGGTAGTGAGATATATATATATATATATATATATATATATATATATATATATATTCAAAAGGATTCTGAAAATTTAATCAAAAACAAAACCTAAGAGACACAATCACATTACTAAATAGGTAAAGTTTAAAAAAAAAAAAAAAAGTTTACTATTTTAAGGTTGTTCAACTTTATCATGAGCATCATGTGTTGCAGGACAAACAATAACAATCTTACATGTACCTGTTATTTGTATATTTGATGAATATATGAGAAACTAGTTTCATATTTAATACATCTATTATTATTAATGAGATTTGTGTGGCTAAAATAAATCTTTTACAAGAATTGGAATTTATTGAAAAATCTAGCAAAGCTCATGTTTATCTTCAGTTAAAGTACCCATTAGGCACCTTGATTTCAATGTAATGTTACACTATACAGATGATTGTGCTTTGACATTAGCACTATAAGGATACAGAAGGTGCTTACTTTTCTTTGGGGAGGGGGTGATAAGTCACATGATGGCTGTTTTGTGATGTCACTCCATACAGTGATCAAAGCAGCAGTCATTTTTCAATTTGTGAACAGTAACCAAACGAGATTGCTTTCTTCTAGCCTGGGCCATAGGGCTGAGGCTAAACCTGCCTTCTGTAGGAGCTTACAAGTGCATGGTACCATTTCCTTTTGGGACATAGATGAATTTGGCCTTTTTAAATTTGGTATCCTAAAAATGACTTCTCCAGGTCAGGAGTATCTCCAAATCATATGTAAGACCTTTCCTTTTTGTTCCTCCTTATACTTTGCTTTGCTGTGTAGATATGTGATATATAGTTCTCCATATGGGACATGTGTGTAATATATATATATATATATATATATCTCATAGTTAAGTAATTCATAAAGTCTAGATAAATAAATAAAATTTTGAGTAAAGGAGAATAAATCATTCCGCCAAGCACTCTCGTTACACTGGGGACTCTGATATGATAATTACCCAATGTGATATTATTATCCATTAGTACAATGTGGTATATAGCCATCTGAGTGCTTGAAGTAGTAAATAACTCAATATGTAAACTTTGCATGAAGTGAGTTTCCTGAAAACTGGCTTTCACTATTATATATACACTAGTGTACCTGTGTGGCCAAAAATGACAGCAATTGTTAAGTTTTAATTGTGAGATCCAATGAAACAAAAGTCTTGAAACAATCTATTGAGATTCAATAAACTGCATATAAAGAATTCACAACTAGAATGAACTGCTTAATTACTACCATTATATATTTATTTATTATTTTTTATACGTTCAAAGGTAACTGATTCATTGATTACTCCTGGTATTATATAAATCAGTTTTTGCTCAATATCCTTGAAAATTTTGTGTGTTCAATATAATAGTAAAATGGAAATATCTCACAGAAGAAAAAGATTGACAACAGAACAACAAAGATTATTTCAAGACCAAGTGAAAGCAAGATGATCACTTAATAGACAAAAGTATCTGAGTGCTTTACATGAAAGTCTTGAACAAATAAGACTGCAATATAAGAAATGTAGGAAAAAAGAAACTGATTAATTAAATGGTTCATTTTGGTCAGGAATTACTTTTGTCTAAATGCAGATAAATATTTTATTTGTATAGATTACTAAAATGACTCGGTGAAGTAATTGTTGATTTATCTCCCTTCCCTCTACAGAGGGATCAGGAAATACATAAATAAATAGACATTGATAATTCATAGATGGTTTAATTGATGATTTCCCTCTTTGTCCCTGTTTTGAATAAATTAATTTTTGTGCAACATGTACCAGAACATATCAGAATTTTTTTTTTTATGGTCATTTAAAAAAAATGTTCATTGTGCTCTTGATAAACCTGTATTTTATTATTTAACAATATATGTTAAAGTAATCCTTAAGTGGCATAAAATAAACTGCTATTCCCTGAATGGCATAAAATCAATAAGACCAAAGTATATACGTTTATTATAGTTAAACATTATTACAATGGGTAATGGTGGACAACACAGCAAATAAATACTGAAAGCACAGGCCTTCTTGTACCGCAGGATCCACAAAATGCTGCTGATGAATAACAATGTCATGAGAGTATATCCTGTGATATTTCCTTGATTCCAGCATTAACAGCCCTTCCATCTAAAACAATATGGCCTCCTGGCTGAATATCCCAATAAACAATATGGCTTCCAGGTTGAATATACCACACAATCATCTCTTTCACTCTACTCACAAATCTGACAACTAAGAAACACTTTCCTGAACCCTGCTTGATATTTATGATGAAAAAACATTAAAAATAGAAAATGACACTTTAATTTATGCCATTTAAGCAAAGAAGAAATTTGACATTATTTTGTGCTGCTTATATGAAGAATTACCTTAAATTTGCCAAAAAAGCAAAAATAAATGCAACTTAATTGTTTTCACTCCATACAAATTTGCTTTGTGGCAACTGAAAATCTGTTACCCCATCCAACCTCAAGCTGAGCCAAATCATTTTATTTAACACTGTCCGTTGATATAGATTATATATATATATATATATATATATATTCATTTCTGTAGTTTACTGCTACCAGCAAGCAGAAATATTTCTTCTCCCGATGATGACCATTTTGGCCGAAACTAGTCGAGGAATCTAAATGAAATAATAATATTAAAAAAAAAAAAAAATAATATTAATCTACAACCCAGTGTATCTGAAGATTTCAATTTTTTAATATTTTTTTTTTTTTTATTGTTCAAAATATATGAAATATGCATCATACACTTGAGTTTATTTATTTAAGGAGCATGATGCACCCTTTATAAAAAAAAGCATAAAATAATTGTTCCTTAACCTCTTCACCACTTTTGGGGGGGAAAAATGTTTCATTTTTGCATATTTTTTAAAATGTTTTTAATATAGTAACTAAGAAACTGAGACATCTTGAAGTATTTGAGAACTGGCTAACAACTCTACCAGATGTACGAGTTGACAACTGGGCTTGTTTCAAGCTCAGAAGGGCATAAAAAGAATCAAGATCAATGTATAAACATGCCTGAAGCTTTTTTTTGAACATCATATTTTGGAGGTCTTTATTTGGCCAGGCCTGAAAAAACACTTTAGGTAAAAGCATATGTATCTATGCTGGGGAAGGAGTTAACATCAATGAACACTTTCCTGAACCCTACTTGATACCATCAAATACCCAATGCTCAGGGTGATATTGGCTATGGTGATATTTACAATGGAACACATTAAAAGATATAAAATCATAGTTTATTTTACACTGCTTAAGTGAAATATTACTGTACATTATTGCTGTATAAGAGGCCACCCAAAAGGCGTAAAATAATTTTAGAAAAAAAATGGACATTTTTTTAATAGATTGATCAATCTGTTTAAATTCCCTGGTCAGTTTCATACCAAGACAGCATCACCACACAATGTACTTTGAAACCCATCTATCTCAGTGTGAACAAAATCTGGGAAAAACTCTGCGTACATTGAAAGAAGAAACATTTGGGCACTTCAATGTGGTGTAACGTTTAGCAAACTTGCTACATCTATTGTGACTGAATCGTAAGTTTGATTCTCACTGTGTGTCCTACACTTTCAGCTTTGTGCCAAATCTAAGCTACCCTGAGAAAATCCATTTCAGGCACCTTAATGTGTAATAATTAGCAAGCTTGTCTTGCTAGATCAATTGTGACTGAATAGCGAGTTCGATCCTCACTGGGTGACCCATATTTCGGTATT